TCTATAGTCTAGTCTATAGTCTAGTCTATAGTCTAGTCTATAGTCTAGTCTATAGTCTAGTCTATAGTCTAGTCTATAGTTTAGTCTATAGTGTAGTCTATAGTCTAGTCTATCGTCTCGTCTATAGTGTAGTCTATAGTCTAGTCTATAGTCTAGTCTAGTCTAGTCACAGTCTAGTCAAGTCTATAGTCTAGTCTAGTCTATAGTCTAGTCTAGGCTAGTCTATAGTCTAGTCTAGTCTACAGTCTAGTCTAGTCTATAGTCCAGTCTATAGTCTAGTCTATAGTCTAGTATAAAGTCTAGTCTATAGTCTAGTCTATAATCTAGTCTATAATCTAGTCTATAGTCTAGTCTATAGTCTAGCCTATAGTCTAGTCTATAGTCTAGTCTATAGTCTAGTCTATAGTCTAGTCTATAGTCTAGTCTATAGTCTAGTATATAGTCTAGTCTATAGTCTAGTCTATAGTCTAGTCTATAGTCTAGTCTATAGTCTAGCCCATAGTCTAGCCTATAGTCTTAGTCTATAGCGTAGTCTATAGTCTAGTCTATAGCGTAGTCTATAGTCTAGTCTATAGTCTAGTCTATAGTCTAGTCTATAGTCTAGTCTATAGTCTAGTCTATAGTCTAGTCTATAGTCTAGTCTATAGTCTATTCTATAGTCTAGTCTATAGTCTAGTCTATAGTCTAGTCTATAGTCTAGTCTATAGTCTCGTCTATAGTCTAGTCTATAGTTAGTCTATAGTCTAGTCTATAGTCTAGTCTATAGTCTAGTCTATAGTGTAGTCTATAGTCTCGTCTATAGTCTATTCTATAGTCTAGTCGATAGTCTAGTCTATAGTGTAGTCTATAGTCTGGTCTATAGTCTAGTCTATAGTCTAGTCTATAGTCTAGTCTATAGTCTAGTCTATAGTCTAGTCTATAGTATAGTCTATAGTCTAGTCTATAGTCTAGTCTATAGTCTAGTCTATAGTCTAGTCTATAGTTAGTCTATAGTCTAGTCTATAGTCTGTCTGTCTATAGTCTAGTCTATAGTTAGTCTATAGTCTAGTCTATAGTCTCAGTCTATAGTCTAGTCTATAATCTAGTCTATAGTCTAGTCTATAGTCCAGTCTATAGTCTAGTCTATAGTTAGTCTAGTCTAGTCTATAGTCTAGTCTATAGTCTAGTCAGTCTATAGTTTAGTCTAGTCTAGTCTAGTCTATAGTCTAGCCTATAGTCTAGTCTATAGTCTAGTCTATAGTCTAGTCTAGTCTATAGTTAGTATATAGTCTAGTCTGTAGTTCTAGCCTATAGTCTAGCCTATAGTCTAGTCTATAGTCTAGTCTATAGTCTAGTCTATAGTCTAGTCTATAGTCTAGTCTATTGTCTAGTCTATAGTCTAGTCTATAGTCTAGTCTATCGTTTCTAGTCTATAGTCTAGTCTATAGTCTAGTCTAGTCTATAGTCTCGTCTACAGTCTAGTCCATAGTGTAGTCTATAGTCTAGTCTATAGTCTAGTCTATAGTCTAGTCTATAGTCTACTCTATAGTCTAGTCTATAGTCTAGTCTATAGTCTAGTCTAGTCTATAGTGTAGTCTATAGTCTAGTCTATAGTCTAGTCTATAGTCTATAGTCTGGTCTATAGTCTAGTCTATAGTCTAGTCTATAGTCTAGTCTATGTCTAGTCTATAGTCTAGTCTATAGTCTAGTCTATAGTCTAGTCTATGTCTAGTCTATAGTCTAGTCTATAGTCTAGTCTATAGTCTAGTCTATAGTCTCGTCTATAGTCTAGTCTATAGTCTAGTCTATAGTCTAGTCTATTGTCTAGTCTATAGTCTAGTCTATAGTCTAGTCTATAGTCTAGTCTATAGTCTAGTCCAGTCTATTGTCTAGTCTATATTCTAGTCCATAGTCTAGTCTATAGTCTAGTCTATAGTCTAGTCTATAGTCTATAGTCTAGTCTATAGTCTAGTCTATAGTCTAGTCTATAGTCTAGTCTATAGTCTAGTCTATAGTCTAGTCTATAGTCTAGTCTATAGTCTAGTCTATAGTCTCGTCTATAGTCTAGTCTATAGTCTAGTCTATAGTCTAGTCTATAGTCTAGTCTATAGTCTAGTCTATAGTCTAGTCTATAGTCTAGTCTATAGTCTAGTCTATAGTCTAGTCTATAGTCTAGTCTATAGTCTAGTCTATAGTCTAGTCTATAGTCTAGTCTATAGTCTAGTCTATAGTCTAGTCTATAGTCTAGTCTATAGTCTAGTCTATAGTCTAGTCTATAGTCTAGTCTATAGTCTAGTCTATAGTCTAGTCTATAGTCTAGTCTATAGTCTAGTCTATAGTCTAGTCTATAGTCTAGTCTATAGTCTAGTCTATAGTCTAGTCTATTGTCTAGTCTATAGTCTAGTCTATAGTCTAGTCTATAGTCTAGTCCAGTCTATGTCTAGTCTAATTCTAGTCCATAGTCTAGTCTATAGTCTAGTCTATAGTCTAGTCTATAGTCTAGTCTATAGTCTAGTCTATAGTTCTAGTCTCTAGTCTAGTCTATAGTCTAGTCTAGTCTATAGTCTAGTCTATAGTCTAGTCTATAGTCTAGTCTATAGTCTAGTCTATAGTCTAGTCTATAGTCTAGTCTATAGTCTAGTCTATAGTCTAGTCTATAGTCTAGTCTATAGTCTAGTCTATAGTCTATAGTCTAGTCTATAGTCTAGTCTATAGTCTAGTCTATAGTCTAGTCTATCGTCTAGTCTATAGTCTAGTCTAGTCTATAGTATACTCTAGTCTATAGTCTAGTCTATAGTCTAGTCTATAGTCTAGTCTATAGTCTAGTTATAGTCTAGTCTATAGTCTAGTCTATAGTCTAGTCTATAGTCTAGTCTATAGTCTAGTCTATAGTCTAGTCTATAGTCTAGTCATAGTCTAGTCTATAGTCTAGTCCATAGTCTAGCCTATAGTCTAGTCTATAGCGTAGTCTATAGTCTATAGTCTAGTCTATAGTCTATAGTCTAGTCTATAGTCTAGTCTATAGTCTAGTCTATAGTCTAGTCTATAGTCTAGTCTATAGTCTAGTCTAGTCTATAGTATACTCTAGTCTATAGTCTAGTCTATAGTCTAGTCTATAGTCTAGTCTATAGTCTAGTTATAGTCTAGTCTATAGTCTAGTCTATAGTCTAGTCTATAGTCTAGTCTATAGTCTAGTCTATAGTCTAGTCTATAGTCTAGTCTATAGTCTAGTCTATAGTCTAGTCCATAGTCTAGCCTATAGTCTAGTCTATAGCGTAGTCTATAGTCTAGTCTATAGCGTAGTCTATAGTCTAGTCTATAGTCTAGTCTATAGCCTAGTCTATAGTCTAGTCTATAGTCTAGTCTATAGTGTAGTTTATAGTCTCGTCTATAGTCTATTCTATAGTCTAGTCGATAGTCTAGTCTATAGTCTAGTCTATAGTCTAGTCTATAGTCTAGTCTATAGTCTAGTCTATAATCTAGTCTATAGTCTAGTCTATAGTCTAGTCTATAGTCTAGTCTATAGTCTAGTCTATAGTCTAGTCTATAGTCTAGTCTATAGTCTAGTCTATAGTCTAGTCTATAGTCTAGTCTATAGTCTAGACTATAGTCTAGTCTATAGTCTAGTATATAGTCTAGTCTATAGTCTAGTCTATAGTCTAGTCTATAGTCTAGTCTATAGTCTAGTCTATAGTCTAGTCTATAGTCTAGCCCATAGTCTAGCCTATAGTCTAGTCTATAGCGTAGTCTATAGTCTAGTCTATAGCGTAGTCTATAGTCTAGTCTATAGTCTAGTCTATAGCCTAGTCTATAGTCTAGTCTATAGCGTAGTCTATAGTCTAGTCTATAGTCTAGTCTATAGCCTAGTCTATAGTCTAGTCTATAGTCTAGTCTATAGTGTAGTTTATAGTCTCGTCTATAGTCTATTCTATAGTCTAGTCGATAGTCTAGTCTATAGTGTAGTCTATAGTCTGGTCTATAGTCTGGTCTATAGTCTAGTCTATAGTCTAGTCTATAGTCTAGTCTATAGTCTAGTCTATAGTCTAGTCTATAGTCTAGTGTATAGTCTAGTCTATAGTCTAGTCTATAGTCTAGTCTATAATCTAGTCTATAGTCTAGTCTATAGTCTAGTCTATAGTCTAGTCTATAGATTCTCCTATTCTATTGTTTAAAAGTAGTCGTTTTTGATTCCATTTTGGACATTGGAACAGCAAATGTTCTACAGTTTCCATAGTTTCCATATAGTCTAGTCTATAGTCTAGTCTATAGTCTAGTCTATAGTCTAGTCTATAGTCTAGTCTATAGTCTAGTCTATAGTCTAGTCTATAGTCTAGTCTATAGTCTAGTCTATAGTCTAGTCTATAGTCTAGTCTATAGTCTAGTCTATAGTCTAGTCTATAGTCTAGTCTATAGTCTAGTCTATAGTCTAGTCTATAGTCTAGTCTATAGTCTAGTCTATAGTCTAGTCTATAGTCTAGTCTATAGATAGTCTAGTCTAGTATGTCTAGTCTATAGTCTAGTCTATAGTCTGTCTATAGTCTAGTCTATAGTCTAGTCTATAGTCTAGTCTATAGTCTAGACTATAGTCTAGTCTATAGTCTAGTCTATAGTCTAGTATATAGTCTAGTCTATAGTCTAGTCTATAGTCTTGTCTATAGTTTAGTCTATAGTCTAGTCTATAGTCTAGTCTATAGTCTAGTCTATAGTTTAGTCTATAGTCTAGTCTATAGTCTAGTCTATAGTCTAGTCTATAGTCTAGTCTATAGTCTAGTCTATAGTCTAGTCTATAGTCTAGTCTATAGTCTAGTCTATAGTCTTGTCTATAGTCTAGTCTACATGTTAGTGTATGGTTTAGTCTAGTCTATAGTCTAGTCTATGGTCTAGTCTATTGTCTAGTCTATAGTGTATAGTCTAGTCTAGTTTTTTCAGTTTATTTTATAGTCTGGTTTATAGTTTAGTCTACAGTCTAGTCTATAGTTTAGTCTAGTCTATAGTCCAGTTTTTCTTTATGTTTATTTTACCTGAATGTGTTTGGTATTTTAACCATAGCTGCTTGATCTTCACTGCATTCAACTTGAGCTGTGCCCAAATTTAAGACAGCTCGTTCCACAGGATCCTTTTCGGATTTGTAAATGAAAACATAAGGACGACGTACAATCTGGGGAAGAAAAAACAAACAATTATTAAATATTTGTGATTTTAGCTCTTGTTGAGTTCAGTTCTAGATCTGTTCTAGGTCTGTTCTAGTTCTGTTCTAGTTCTGTTCTAGTTCTGTTCTAGTTCTGTTCTAGTTCTGTTCTAGTTCTGTTCTAGTTCTGTTCTAGTTCTGTTCTAGTTCTGTTCTAGTTCTGTTCTAGTTCTGTTCTAGTTCTAGTTCTGTTCTAGTCTGTTCTAGTTCTGTTCTAGTTCTGTTCTAGTTCTGTTCTAGTTCTGTTCTAGTTCTGTTCTAGTTCTGTTCTAGTTCTGTTCAAGTTCTGTTCTAGTTCTGTTCTAGTTCTGTTCTAGTTCTGTTCTAGTTCTGTTCTAGTTCTGTTCTAGCTCTGTTCTAGTTCTGTTCTAGATCTCTCCTAGTTCTGTTTCGTTCTATTCTCCTTCTGTTCTAGTTCTGTTCTAGCTCTGTTCTAGTTCTGTTCTAGTTCTGTTCTAGTTCTGTTCTAGTTCTGTTCTAGTTATGTTCTAGTTCTGTTCTAGTTCATTATCGATGTCAGTGCTAGTTCTGTTCTAGTTCTGTTCTAGTTCTGTTCTAGTTCTGTTCTAGTTCTGTTCTAGTTCTGTTCTAGTTCTGTTCTAGTTCTGTTCTAGTTCTGTTCTAGTTCTGTTCTAGTTCTGTTCTAGTTCTGTTCTAGTTCTGTTCTAGTTCTGTTCTAGTTCTGTTCTAGTTTCTAGTTCTGTTCTAGTTCTATTCTAGTTCTGTTCTAGTTCTGTTCTAGTTCTGTTCTAGTTCTGTTCTAGTTCTGTTCTAGTTCTGTTCTAGTTCTGTTCTAGTTCTGTTCTAGTTCTGTTCTAGTATGTTCTAGTTCTGTTCTAGTTCTGTTCTAGTTCTTTTCTAGTTCTGTTCTAGTTCTGTTCTAGTTCTGTTCTAGTTCTTTTCTAGTTCTTTTCTAGTTCTGTTCTAGTTCTGTTCTAGTTCTGTTCTAGTTCGGTTCTAGTTCTGTTCTAGTTCTGTTCTAGTTCTGTTCTAGTTCTGTTCTAATTCTGTTCTAGTTCTGTTCTAGTTCTGTTCTAGTTCTGTTCTAGTTCTGTTCTAGTTCTGTTCTAGTTCTGTTCTAGTTCTGTTCTAGTTCTGTTCTAGTTCTGTTCAAGTTCTGTTCTAGTTCTGTTCTAGTTCTGTTCTAGTTCTGTGCTAGTTGTGTGCTAGTTCTGTTCTAGTTCTGTTCTAATTCTGTTCTAGTTCTGTTCTAGTTTTGTTCTAGTTCTGTTCTAGTTCTGTTCTAGTTCTGTTCTAGTTCTGTTCTAGTTATGTTCTAGTTCTGTTCTAATTCTGTTCTAATTCTGTTCTAATTCTGTTCTAGTTCTGTTCTAGTTCTGTTCTAGTTCTGTTCTAGTTCTGTTCTAGTTCTGTTCTAGTGCTGTTCTAGTTCTATTCTAGTTCTGTTCTAGTTCTGTTCTAGTTCTGTTCTAGTTCTGTTCTAGTTCTGTTCTAGTTCAGTTCTAGTTCTGTTCTAGTTCGGTTCTAGTTCTGCTCTTGTTCTGTTCTAGTTCTGTTCTAGTTCTGGTCTAGTTCTGTTCTAGTTCTGTTCTAGTTCTGTTCTAGTTCTGTTCTAGTGCTGTTCTAGTTCTATTCTAGTTCTGTTCTAGTCCTGTTCTAGTTCTGTTCTGGTTATGTTCTAGTTATGTTCTAGTTCTGTTCTTGTTCAATTCTATTTCAGTGCTAGTTCTGTTCTAGTTCAGTTTTAATTCAGTTTTTGTACTTACCACCCAACGTTTCTTCCAGCCAGAGCCGCCATGTTCCAAAACGTTCAAAAGACCCTTGCGTGCCACCACAGGACTAACGCGAATTTCTTCCAATTCGGGTACATACAAGCGAAGAGGGAGAGCTGGTTGTGTGGCGGGAGCAGGAGCTTCCCAGCCATTGGGAGCATCAGCACGATCTGGAGAGCATAACCTAAATACAAATAAGATATATAAAGATTTTAGTAATAATAAGAGATAAGAATGTATTTGACATAAAAAGTTATTAACAAAGTATTAAACTACAATTAGTAGAGTAGTAGTAGTAATTAGTGTAAGAACAATTATTTTAATAAAAGCAGTTTTTATAGTTTTCAAATATTACAAAAATTTTAACTTAAAATGAAAATCATAATAATAGATAAAAAACAACAACAACTAAAGCTGATAGTAAGTTAAGAATTTAACAAGTTAAAAAAGTGTTAAAAAAACTAATAAAAGAAAAACAATTTCAAATTAAGACAAAAATTTTACCTTCTTCTAATACGTAGTAACCAAATAAGAGTTTTTTTATTTAAAAATACAATACAAATATGAAATAAAAGAAAAAAATTTTACAAAAGTTAAAATCAAAGACAAAACCATTCAGTATATTTTTGAAAAGAGAAATTTGTTTAATCAGATATTGTTGTGGTGTTTTTGTTTTGTTTGTACTAAAGAAATTAAAAGATAAATAATAAGTTGACAGGCAAGTTTTGGTTTCTATAGAGAAGAGAGTGAGAGAAAAGGCTGAGCTAAAAGTTTAAAGATCTAAAAGAGATCTTATTTAATTACTATTGCAAACAAAAGTGTTGATAGGTGATGTTTAGGCGATAGAATTAGTTCAGCCCTTTCTAAACCTTTTTTAAAAACATTTAATTGTTTAAACGTTTTTAAAAAACACTACAGATTTTCATTAACTAAATTTTCTCTTTTTATCTTAATATAAGCAATACTTACTCCATGGAATTGCTGGATATGCAACTGACTGTCATATCAGCACAGCCCTCATCACTGGGTGAAACATCCGATTGAGTTTGATTATCGGAATTTTCAGATTTTTGATAACGTCCTAAAGAAAACCAAAACCAATTAAAATCTATATATATAAAAATGAAAGTGTGTTTGTATGTATGTATGTATGTATGTATGTATGTATGTATGTATGTATGTATGTATGTATGTATGTATGTATGTATGTATGTATGTATGTATGTATGTATGTATGTATGTATGTATGTATGTATGTATGTATGTATGTATGTATGTATGTATGTATGTATGTATGTATGTATGTATGTATGTATGTATGTATGTATGTATGTATGTATGTATGTTTGTTTGTTTGTTTGTGCTTTATAGACTGCTAAACGGCTGGACCGATTTTCCTGAAATTTTCACAGTTTCTTCCTGTATGTCTGGAAGGAACTATAGGCTACTTTTTATGTTGAAATTTCATGTGGGCGACGTGCCACGCCCATATTAAGAAAATATTATATTAGTATATCTGAGATAATATAATAGTTAGAGTCTTCAAATTTTGTCGGAGCAACTTTAGTATCAATATAATTATTTAAGACAAAAAGTAGGCGGATTAGCATTAGGGGGCGTGGCACCTCCCATATAAATTAATTACAAAAATTCGTTTATCTTGGAAACTATTACAATTAGAATATTAAAATTTGCACGGGTAACTTTAATATACATGTAAACATTTTAGGAAATAAATTGGCGGACTACCCATGAGGGGAGCAGCACCTCCCATATTAATAAAATACAAAAATTGGTTTATCTGGGAAACTAATAGAACTAAATTCTTCAAATTTTGCACTAAGAACTTAAATATTCATCTGAACATTTTGGAGAAAAAAGATCGGACTTTCGTCATGGGGGGCTTGGAGCTCCCATATAAATTAAATAGGAAAATTATTATATCTGAGAAACTATTAGAGCTAGAATCTTCAAATTTTAATTGAAGAACTTTGACATTCATGTGAACATTCAGAGAATAACGGGCGGACTTTCAATGGGGGGTTTGGCACCTCACATATGAATTAAATACCAAATTTCGCTTATCTGGGAAACTAATAGAACAAGATTCTTCAAATATTGCAAGAAGAACTTTATTATACATATGAACATTTTGGAGAAAAAAGGGCGGACTTTCATCTGGGGGCTGTGAGTTCCCATATGAATTAAATAGAAAAATTCGTATATCTGAGAAACTATTAGAGCTAGAATCTTCAAATTCTACATGAAGATCTTTGACATTAATGTGAACATTTAGAGAATAACGGGCGGACTTTGAATGGGGTCTTGGCATATATGAATTAAATACAAAATTTCGTATATCCGGAAAAATATTAGATATTTTTTTTAATTTGTCATCGATTACATTAAAATCGTAATTAACGTTCGGAAAAAATGTATCTCTGGAAAACATTACAGTTAGAATCTTCAAAATTATTAAGAAGATTTTTTATTTATATTGCTTTTGGGGTAGCAAAGCACACTGGGTATAGCTAGTGTTTAAATAAAAATTACAAATTTCCTTATGTTATCAACTCACCTTGCACCAATTTCAAACATTTCATCATTAGTTCCTTTTCACGTTCATTATATTCACGTTCGGGCATTATCTGTTGTGGATCCTTAACGGGTGTCTGTGGTGATGGTGGTATAACCATGTGTACTGGTGATGTAGCCGCCTTGGCTGCCAAATTACAAACATCTTTTTCGGTTTTTGTTGTAGGATTTGGATTGTATCCATACCCAAACGTTCGCGTAATAACAATAAATGACGTACACGTCCTACTTCTTCGAGGCGTGTCAATTTCTCTAATTCCCATTGATGATCAAAGATTAAGGAATCGCCGCGTGGACGCCAGCCGTGAAGATTTTCCTCACCGCGTACATAAGTTGAGCTGGTGTCGAGTACACGTCGTTGACGACGTTGAACACCTGGAGGGGAAGGCACAGGGGGGGAAGAGAACAATGATAAGATTTTGTTTTAGGCAAATTTAATACATTTTTCCACATTTCAATTAAAAGCAAAATGTCTAAATATGTGTAATTAACGCAGCTGATAAGTTCTTCCAACTATTAAAGCTTTAAGTTTACTTTACTCTAAGCTATTTTGTTTTAAAGATTTCTCTAATGAAATTAAAGGGACATTGACACGCTAGTGGGAGTCCCACTTTCCTGCTGTCAGCAGGAACTATATAAATCTGCTCAGATTCGATGCTTAACCACCACCAACTGTTCGACAGCCAGGCTAACTTGGCCTCTTAGTAATAACCCTAGATCATTGTCAATGATGGGACTAAGGCTACTTTTAGACCTGATGACCGGTCACTGGTTTGCACGTGCTCTTGCTAAGAAATGGAATCTTTCGTTTAATGACTTCTGCAGAAGTTGCAATAATGAGTATGAGAAGTCAAACTGGTACTTTGTCTATATCCTACTTTATCTGACCTTAGAATAGCGACCATAGGGCGTGCTTATTAGCATAATTTGGGGAATCTCTTTGAGCTTGGTGTTCGAACGATATATTCCTTCATTCATGCCCCACACTGGTTTACAGCTGCTCTTGCTAAGAGATGGAATCTTTCGTTTAATGACTTCTGCAGAAGTTTCAGTAATGAGTATGAGGAGTCAAACTCGTATATAGACAAATATCCTACTTTATCTGACCTTAGAATAGCGACCATAGGGCGTGCTTATTGGCATAATTTGGGGAATCTCTTTGACCTTGGTATTCGAACGATAGATTCCTTCATTCATGCCCCACACTGGTTTACAGCTGCTCTTGCTATGAGATGGAATCTTTCGTTTAATGACTTCTGCAGAAGTTGCAGTAATGAGTATGAGGAGTCAAACTGGTACTTTGTCTGTATCCTACTTTATCTGACCTTAGAATAGCGACCATAGGGCGTGCTTATTGGCATAATTTGGGGAATCTCTTTGACCTTGGTGTTCGAACAATAGATTCCTTCATTCATGCCCCACAAGTTGGTTTGACACGTTAACTATCGCAGACACATAGATGACAACTCGGTAGGTCGAGGTTTTAATTCATCCGGGCATGACAACGAGAGCCTTTCTTGAAACAAATGCGTCGGTTTCATGCTAACACCGTCTAAAACCTAACCTAACAGTCTAGATCAATAAAAAGTTCAAAAATTAAGTCATCAGATTCATAACTAATCGCGCCTTCAGAGATATTTTCATTATCAAACGACTTGAAACCTTTTGAGAAAGATTTCGCTCTATAACTTTAGCTGACCAATAGGATACCGGATGTAGGAAGTTGGTATCGCCCCGTTAACAGCATCTAGCTTCCCCCTAGTACAGTCACATTATAGACATTCGACATTTACCACTTTTATAGACTATCCATACTATCAATCTGAAGATATGTAAAGTGAACTATATAGTGTTTCTTGCAGGATCATTCTGTATTCCGAAAACGATCAAAATGAAAATCTGATAGATAAAGAAGCAAAATAAAAGAACTGGAAGCACAAATACAAGATCTTCTAGAAGATTTTATATGATTTCAATAACAAAGATCTATACTATGACTATGATTTCGGAATTTAGAGTTCATCAAACCTCAAAACAAACTTTCAGCTTCATGACAATGTAAATATTTAGTAACGCCTTCTAAAATTGCTTATTTATAAGCTTTAAAAAAGCAACAACAACGACAATATTAAAATCAAAAAATAACAATTAAACCAACAATAAGAATAAATCATAAATAACTATAATTTCAAACACTACATTTTAAAAATTTCTACCTGGACTACCTGCATCTGATGCTCTTCTCAAGGATAATTCATAAACTCCAGACAAACGATTTGCCTCTGGATTACGATATTGACCAGAGAAGAGATGTTTCAAGGAGCGTGGACCAGTACGAGCATCACGACCATAAATAATCATGCTTAAATCTTTGGTTATGATAGCAGGACGAGCACAATTCTCCAACTGTAATAACATAAAAGAATATTAAAGAATTTAAAAAAAAAATGGTTTCCAAAGAGCCGACTTACCTCCAAATAGGCGCTCAAAGTAATGTAAACAGTTTCTCCACCCTGAGATACACGATTCAAAAGAGCTGAATTATGAAGACTAGAATCCCAGGCAGCCTCAAATCTAAAGAATGAACGATCATCACCGGGTACTTCCAAAACCTCACCCGGAAATAGACCCAAAGACAAAACACAAGAGTCTTCATCATCTTCCGATGACTCAGGAGTATTGCGTATACGTCCCACCACCAATTCACGAATATCTTTCCACTTAACCTCAGGTGTAGGCTCATGGACAATGGTTATGCGTATACGTCTTTGAATGCCTTGATGCAAAAGGAATAGACCACGGCAAGGAAGATCATCGCTATGTTCAACAACCTTTGGATAAAAGTGAAAAAAAAAAATGGAAAAATCCGAAAAATAATGCTGATGGCGGATAAACTTACCGCTGGCACATATTCACCATTGGGTGCTAATTCACATATTTCAAACCATACCAAAACATCATGTTTCGCCAATACCGTAGAGGATGGAGGACAAGGTAGTGGACCAAATTTGGGACTACGTACTGGTTGCGATATCGGTATACTTGGTGGTAACATGCGTCTTGGTGGTGGTCTGGAAACAAACTCTTGTTTAGCATCCTTATGCAAAGGATGTGTTTGATAATGACCGAATACTTTAAACATAATCGGTTGAGTTTTCAAATACTCAATGAAAGATTTCGTAACGGGTACAGTTATCTGGGGAGTTAGACCAAAAGAGAAATATATTAAGAAGTTATTGTAGTGCTGCAAAATTCAAAAGAAACTTACATTTTGTACATGATAGAAACCCAAACGATCACCAGCCGAATTCTTTACCGGTTCAGTAGAGAAAGCCTCCTCATGGCGATGTAAGAAACTAAAGATTTCTTAGGTTACTAAAGTCTAATTTTTTTATATATATTTCCTGATGACAACTTACTTAAACTGACAGAATATATCGGCATATTCGGCACCAATACCAGTGGCCTGTAGAACCGTAACACGGAATGTAAACTCTTTGCCCACTTGCAAATGTTCGCCTGGTTCATCTTGTGTTTCCTGGCATTCAGAGGCTGAATTAGAATCAATACCACGTCCAGAATCTGCATCTCCAAGTTCTGATTATTAATAATTTTTGAAATAATAGACAGACGAATAAAATTGAAAGGGGAAACAACATGTTGGAAGAAACATGTTTAATAAGGTTGGATTTAAAAAGGGATTCATAAAAGTGAACAGGGTGTGTATTGCTATTCGGAACTTACAGTTCCAGATGAAACTTTGGAACTATCATTACCAAATTTACACAAAAGAATTTTCAAATGTAGACTTCTTGTGATTACTTGACTTCATCACAAAGTAAAGGTTTCCGATTTGGACTTTTTCCGATTAATAATCTCAGTTTTCTTTCTTAATTCTTTTCCACACCCTTTAATATAACGTTCATATGTACATAACAGATATCTTTCAAACGTCACTTACCTTCTAATTTCGAATCCATGCCACCATTGTCAATATAACGTTGAACATCATCTTTCTCATTCAAAGCCCGATATTTGGGTTTAGCATCATCCTCATTGAAAATCAAACGAGCCGATTGTTTAACACCATTATTAAAGTCCAAAGACTCCTCATCCTTAAAAAAGATAAAAATCAAAATAGAAATAGAAAATTGATCTTTCAAAACCCATTTTCCGAAAATCTACTCACCAAAACCGGTTGTACAGCTATACGCAAATAACCCCGTACATCACCTCTCTCATTAACAATGGCCACTTTATGGACCAATGGTACGGGATACAATAGATTACTGAGATAAACAAATGATCTGCCCACCATACGGAACCAGGGGAAACGATCATAGAAGGGATCACCACCAGTTAAAGACTCAACATTATAATCGGGTGAAGTGGGACTAAGTTCAGCTTCATTGTGATACATTTCACGCATCAATTCAAGACGTTGTCTATAAGTGCGAAAGAAAATATGGACATATTATATATTTGATTTTAGGTTTGGGTTCAAATCTCTATATAATTTCAATATCTAGGTAATATATTTGGACAGACATATAAAGCTTTATAAGAATAAACAAAAGTAAATGTACGCGTGATTTAGAAATTATTTAAAAAATTATAAAATTTTTGTAAACAAATTAAATCTGAAAAAAGCTAAATTATATCAGCAAAAGCTATAGATAAAAACTTATAAGTTCGAGTTGTGGAACTCGTTTAGTTCCCTAATGAAAACCTTTGAAAACGACAGCTTTATGGGCATAAAACTTAAAACTACAGTATTGTTCGCAAGGTTAGCATTTTAACTAGACGAATCCACGATTGTCTTTGATTAGGAATCTTTTTAAGGCATAAACGTTCTGAATTTGAATGTTAAGTGAAAACTACAGTACTGTTCGCAACTTAAGCATCTCAACTAGCCGAATGTAAAGTAACACTTTGAAGGATTGATCAGTCTAAAACATTCATGAAAGTTGGCCCATGATTAGAAATCTACTAAAGGAATAAAAGTTTTGAATTGAAATTTATAAAGCTGCTAGATCACAGCTGCTACATAACAGATCAGATATCGTCAAGATTGTATAAATGAATAGCTTTCCAAACTACAACTCGCATCCTTAGACCGTCGAGCATTCCTCAACACACCTCGAACGTGTGAAAGCACGTTCTATCCCAATTTAGTTGACACTCTGTCGAACTGATATGGATTCGTAGAAGTGTCGTGAATTATATTGAAAATATCAACATAATATTGATAAACCCTCGATTCCAAAGCAACAATATGTGACAGTAGTTGAAAATAAGACCTCTCCGATGATTGTCAACTAGCATACAATGTAATATTTCAAACATAAATCGCGTGGTCCGCTACATTTTCCGAAAGTAGTGATGTCAACATAATCTTGATAATCGCTGGATTCAATCGCAACTATGTGTTACAGTAGTTGAAATTTTGACCTCTAGGATGTGTGTCATTAAGCGAAATTGCAGGGAGGGAAAACACTTAGGCTTTCAAATGGTCATTTGCAACATTAAAGCAAATACCAATAGGATATGGGGTCTATATAGAAATCTCAGATACTGAAATATACCACTGCCATCCTATATTCCCACGGCAATTGGATCTCCGTTCTGGTATGACCCAATCGGATAAATATTAACAACTGTACCACAGCTTTATCAATCGGAAGTTTTTTTTACCACAGGGAGGAACTTTCAAGAAGCAAAACTTTTGCAACAACAACAACAACTACCGACTACTAATTACAACAATAGCTTTCAGTAGGAAGTCCCAGATATCACGGAAAGGATTGCAAATCATTTGCCAGAAGGTTATTAGGACGGTATCAGATGATGGGTATCCTTCTTCATATGGGTACCATGTCACTCGGAAACAAAAGAGCAAATGTTTTCGCCATTAAGGCAAGGAAGTTAACCTTATGAATGCGAAACCGTTCGACGCAACTAGGAATGAATTAAAAACATAATCGAAAGAATCCTATAGGCCCACAACTATAGAAAATTTGACCACTGTAAAGCATGCGAATAGGACAATGAAACCCTGGAACACTTTCTTTATCATTGCCAGACATTTGTCAAAATTAAATCCAAATATGTTATTCCAGATACTAGATCTCTCAAGAACACTGTTGAGAAAATTCTAAGGAACTACACCCAGGAAACTGAATTTTAGAACATAGATAGTAATACATTACATAAGAATTTCCGAATATTTTCCATTTCAAGCAGCGCACAACAGCATCGATAGAAGTTTTTCTGCGGATCTAATGTAGTAACTATTCTCCTTGCAACATAACCTAAGTTTAGGATAGAATGTCATTTCCAAAATTGTCCTAATGTTCAATGTTTCAAGCTTTGGCTTTGGTTTGATCGAGAATTAGGTGATCTCAATATTGATCACTTTGTGATTCTGAATGTCAGTGATGAAAGAAGAAATGCTTGTTTAGTTCTAAAATACTTTCCAAGATTCCTCAAGAAGCTGTCAGGATCATTGAGTTTTTAGAGTGGAAATGCAGCAAAATTGCTCAGAGTCCAAATGGCTTTAGTTTGGTAGAGAATAATGTGTCAATAATCTCGAAAATCAAGGTTTCGTAATAGAACCTATACCGTAGTAAACAAGTGAATTTGAACATTATAGTAAAGTTGATATTAAATATGATTTGATATGACAATTTCAACTTAAGCAAAGAAAAAGTTTTAGCGAAAATAAGCAAAATATAAGTGTTTATAAAAATACTCTACAAATTAGATTAATCCTCAAAGGCAACGATAATAATTATATTCATATAAATATAAATAAAAAAAATAGCAAATATTAATAAAATACAAAATTAAAAGAAATAAATCATGCAATTGTGAAATGTTAGAAAAAAAAAAGGAAATTTCAAAATATTTCAATAGGTTAAAAGAAATTTAAATGAAAATGGACATTGACAGATTAGTAGATTCATTTAAAAGACTATTGTGTCTCATGATCGGAAATGTTGAAGAAATTTTTGTAAGAATTTTCAAGCTTTTAAGGTGACAACCGAATTTTCTCAAGAATTAACATACGAACTAAACTAGAACTGAACTAGAACTGATGTAGAATTGTACTAGAACTGAACTAGAACTGAACTAGAACTGAACTAGAACTGAACTAGAACTGAACTAGAACTGAACTAGAACTGAACTAGAACTGAACTGGAAATGAACTAGAACTGAACTAGAACTGAACTAGAACTGAACTAGAACTGAACTAGAACTGAACTAGAACTGAACTAGAACTGAACTAGAACTGAACTAGAACTGAACTAGAACTGAAATAGAACTGAACTAGAACTGAACTAGAACTGAACTAGAACTGAACTAGAAGTGAACTAGAACTGAACAAGAACTGAACTAGAAATGAACTAGAACTGAACTAGAACTGATGTAGAACTGTACTAGAACTGAACTAGAACTGAACTAGAACTGAACTAGAACTGAACTAGAACTGAACTAGAACTGAACTAGAACTGAACTAGAACTGAACTAGAACTGAACTAGAACTGAACTAGAACTGAACTAGAACTGAACTAGAACTGAACTAGAACTGAACTAGAACTGAACTAGAACTGAACTAGAACTGAACTAGAACTAGAACTGAACTAGAACTGAACTAGAACTGAACTAGAACTGAACTAGAACTGAAATAGAACTGAACTAGAACTGAACTAAAACTGAACTAGAACTGAACTAGAACTGAACTAGAACTGAACTAGAACTGAACTAGAACTGAACTAGAACTGAACTAGAACTGAACTAGAACTGAACTAGAACTGAACTAGAACTGAACTAGAACTGTACTAGAACTGAATTAGAACTGAACTAGAACTGAACTAACCTAGGACAGAACTAAACTAGAACTGAACTAGAACTAAACTAGAACTGAACTAAACTGAACTAGAACTAAACTAGAACTAAACTAGAACTGAACTAGAACTGAAGTGGAACTAGAACTGAACTAGAACGAAACTAGAACTGACCTAGAACTCAACTAGAACTGAACTTGAAATGAACTAGAAATGAACTAGAACTGAACTAGAACTGAACTAGAACTGAACTAGAACTGAACTAGAACTGAACTAGAACTGAACTAGAACTGAACTAGAACTGAACTAGAACTGAACTAGAACTGAACTAGAACTGAACTAGAACTGAACTAGAACTGAACTAGAACTGAACTAGAACTGAACTAGAACTGAACTAGAACTGAACTAGAACTGAACTAGAACTGAACTAGAACTAGAACTGAACTAGAACTGAACTAGAACTGAACTAGATCTGAACTAGAACTGAACTAGAACGGAACTAGAACTGAACTAGAACTGAACTAGAACTGAACTAGAACTGAACTAGAACTGAACTAGAACTGAACTAGAACTGAACTAGAACTGAACTAGAACTGAACTAGAACTGAACTAGTACTGAACTAGAACTAGAACTGAACTAGAACTGAACTAGAACTGCACTAGAACTGAACTAGAACTGAACTAGAACTGAACTAGAACTGTACTAGAACTGAATTAGAACTGAACTAGAACTGAACTAACCTAGGACAGAACTAAACTAGAACTGAACTAGAACTAAACTAGAACTAAACTAGAACTGAACTAAAACTGAACTAGAACTAAGCTAGAACTAAACTAGAACTGAACTAGAACTGAAGTGGAACTAGAACTGAACTAGAACGAAACTAGAACTGACCTAGAACTCAACTAGAACTGAACTTGAAATGAACTAGAAATGAACTAGAACTGAACTAGAACTGAACTAGAACTGAACTAGAACTGAACTAGAACTGAACTAGAACTGAACTAGAACTGAACTAGAACTGAACTAGAACTGAACTAGAACTGAACTAGAACTGAACTAGAACTGAACTAGAACTGAACTAGAACTGAACTAGAACTGAAACTGAACTAGAAACTGAACTAGAACTGAACTAGAACTGAACTAGAACTGAACTAGAACTGAACTAGAACTGACTAGAACTGAACTAGAACTGAACTAGAACTGAACTAGAACTGAACTAGAACTGAACTAGAACTGAACTAGAACTGAACTAGAACTGAACTAGAACTGAACGAGAAACTGAATGAACTAGAACTGAACTAGAACTGAACTAGAACTGAACTAGAACTGAAACTAGAACTGAACTAGAACTGAACTAGAACTGAACTAGAACTGAACTAGAACTGAACTAAAACTGAACTAGAACTGAAAAAGAACCGAACTAGTTAGTTAGTTAGGATGTAGTTACATTAGACCAAAGAAGTTCACATAAGCCTTTATCGGACATGTTTTGTAACCAGCGTCCCTATTTGGAATCGAACTCGGAACCTCCGAACTGACAGACTAACAAACTTTCAACAGCCTTCCAGAGGCAACCTCCTTTAGATAATATTCTTTATGATTACTTCTGATTTCTAGATCGGACGATCAGACAAACTTTAGTTTTGTTCCTAGGAATCAAAATTTACTTCAAAATGCTTGATCAATTTTTATTCTGAACTTCTTTTTCTCATTCTTTTTTGAAATTTCCTTTTTTTCTCTCTTTTAGATAAACACCTTCAGATGCTATTAAGACATTCATATACACATTCAAATATATATATATACAAATGTGATTCAAAATTATATATAAAGATAATTATATTTTTATAGATATATAAAATATAGATGTTATATATAGAATATTGTATATAGAATTTAAAGAAACCTCGAAAAAATGAAAGCAAACCTAGAAGGCATAAGATTTGCCAATGACAAACGGGATGGTGAACTGTTGTTTGATTTCGATAATATGGATTTTGTTGTCGCATTAACGGTTGATTGTTTCGTTGGCACTACAACAACATTTTGTTGTCCCAAATGACAATTTCTAGTTAATTCTTGTAAATTATAAAGACCACTTTCATATAAATTAGCAGTAGCTGAGGATAAAATAGCAGCTGTATTATTATTAGTATTAGTAGCATTAGAATTTGTCGTAGTCGGAGTTGTATTAGTTGAAGTTGAGGCGGTGTTGAAAGTATTGGAAGGATTCAGAGAAATACAAGAAGAATTTTGTAATTGTACATCATTTAAAGCTGACGTATCATAGAGCATTGATGATGGTGGTGATTCCACATTATAAATTTGTCGCATCATTTCCAAACGATAACTATTAATTAAGTGTGTGAATTTGTGAAATGTTAAGAAAAATATATTCAACTTTGTTGGTTTGTTTTTTTCAAATAAATAAAAATTAATAGAAGGAAATGTTGAAAAAGAAATAAAAAAAATTTATAAAATGAAAGTTAATGTTTAGAATGATTGAGAAACAAAAGATCAAAAGAAAATAATGGAGCGTGTTATGGTGGTTTTTAGAGTTTTGGAAACGGATTTGTTAAATGCTTTTTGAAATGTTGAAGGGGGGGGGGGTTTCAATTTGTACTATTTGGTTTAAAAGTTTTACGATCCAATTTTGTTCTGATGTGTTCTAATGCGACATAGAGTCCGGGAAAATGATATTCAAGTCAATTTATATACCGTTGAAAAACTTTTCATGTAAACGCCGTTTCAAAAAAAGAGGAACTGAAATAGAGTCTAAATAACCTAAAAAGTGCTCTTCACAGATCTTTATACTTAAAATATATCTAAAATCTACGCAATTTCTTGTCAAAGTAACGGATTTTTAGGCCTTGAAAACTCAAACTCGATGTTCTTCTTATGGCATCGGTGAAAAATTCGAAAACTGTAGTTCTACCCATCTACAACCTTCCTTAGAAACTACACAATGTATTTAAACTTTCTTTTTCACCTAAAGTCTCATGGAGACCATGACAGACTTCCCAGAGTTAGAGTTTCGGGTCGTAAGGATTGCAGATCATAATCATCGTGAAAAGACCATTGATCTCTACAGCGAATCTTTATATCAAAAACCCACCATTGCACTGACAAATCAAATGATTCTAATATAGAATCTGAATGAAGTTTTGAACCTATCATAATGACAAATGCTGGTCGATTGTAGCGTTATTGCCATACATATCTTGGATAGTTATATCACAGAGATTTGGAATAGTAAGAAACAGTTTTCAATAACTTTAAAATGATGCCATTCCTGCCTCCTTATTCTCCTTTTTCAGATGGCCCAGAATAATACACTTCTCATTGCAGCCGATTGAGTCAAAATGTCGAATGTAGATCATTATCATAAGATTTCATTCCGTTATATGTCCGATATTCTATTGCGTATTTGTCCAGATGGTTTCCGTTCGCTTGTGATATTTCTGTACAATTCCCTTTTTCCCTCTAATGGAAAGATTTAGATGCAGGATTTCCGATGTAATGAGTTGAACTTTTCGCGATACTCAAGGCATTATGGTGGTTGATACAACTGTCCTAAATTTGATGGTTTGACCCTGTATGATAAGGAGAGATTGTCTAGATAACGAACGGGGATCATTATTATGAGATAACTAGGGCAACTACATCTTACTGTATTATTGTCCTTATTGCCCAAGCTAATAGATGGCAAAGTTTATCCATTATAATTTGGATGAACTTTCCACGCTATTATAAAGACTCCAGGACGACATATCAATGAACATAAGCCGATCTTCAGTTGCCCAAGCTCAAAGAGTGTAGCACCAATAATACCCGAATCAATTAACAGCTATATGATCTGATATTGCCCAATTCACTTCCGGTTATTGTAGATTGCTCAGTAATTGCGTTTGTCACTCCAAGCCTTACATATGCCTTCATATCCTCCTTTCTCGGAGACTCCCAATGATGGGAATTATAAGTGGTTCAGAAAAATGAGCTCTGGATTTCAAAGTAATGCGTCTAGAGGACGTATTTAGAATAACACGATCAGAAAACGTTCTGCTCTGGGTCCCATATTATAATGTATTGCTCTCCAGATAGTTCTTTTTCGCTTCTCACCCCATACACGGACTTTTATTGCGAATTCCTTAACTGGTATCGAGAAGCAATTTATACTTCGTTTTCTATTTCGTAAGGTTTAGAAACAGTAGTTTAAACTCAACAAATTTTAAGAAGAAAATTAAAAAGATACTCAATAGACTTCTACGTTTTTACTTTCTTTTCTCATCTTGAGCGGTTAATCCGTGGGATTTTTGTGAAAGCAGTTTCTCAAAAACGTAACTTGGTATCTTTGTGGGAATGAGAAAGGAGAATACATGACTTCCTCTCTAACCTAGACTATTTGCAATTGAGTCTATATATTTATTGTCTTGACATTATCTGGCTATATCAGGTTGGATATTACGGCTTCAACAAAGAAGCCAACAATAGCCATTTACTTACAAAAGACTGTCCCGGAGGGGATTTGAACATGATGCTAAAATCAGAACGTTAAAGGTGGAACTTCAAACTTAATATCGCAGAACATATAATGGAAGAGATGTACATATCTGAAAAGTGTTGGATCTAATGCTAAAATCTGTATGAAGTAAGTGGAACTTGAAGACTTGATATACATTTACTCATAAAAGAAATATCTAGCGATATCTTTAGTTCGAACAAACAGCACAAATGTCCTAGTGGTCATTTAAACGGATCCGATTATACAATTTTAATGCGTTGAGGTCCAACACTAGAAATCGCGCTACTTCTACTGAAGTAGTCCTTAAATCCATTGGTGTTGGTGAAGTAGAGCAAGCGGTTTAGTTGAGTATATTAAGGGGGAGGTGTATTATGAAGAAATCGCGCTACTTATACTGAAGTAGTCCCTTAATCCATTGGTGTTGGTGAAGTAGAGCGAGCGGTTTAGTTGAGTATATTAGGGGGAGGTGTATTATGAAGATTCTGACCTCATGTTCGACATATATTAGGGACGTCACAGTCTATGCTGAACTAGTAGATGTTAGATCTATTGCTCTATCCCGATATTAGTTGTAAAAGAGCAACTTTTGTTTTCTGCGCCTGGATTTCTTCTACAATAGGCGGAAAACGTCCGGTGACATTCCGGTATAAACTGTTAAGTCAGCTTGACATTATGTTTTCTTGACTGGAAGGACTTTCACTTCCGCGTGTAGATGGTGCTCAGAGGTTATTTGCACGCATCCCATTACAGTCTGTATGACAGCACTTTGGCAACAGGAGATTCTTTTTTAACAATCCTCGATCTAGTTTGCGTTAGTCCTTAGTATTAAGGACCTTTTGTAGAGATCAAATTTAAAGAAAACTATAACATCTAACGGTAATCAAATCAAAACTAATCGATTGAAACTATCGGACTATTACATGCCAAACTTAAGAAACTTTTAACTGAAATTAATAAAATTCTGAAACCTTAAACCACTTAAAAACTTAAAATATACAACGTTTATTAAGGGAGAGGGGTTATACATCTAATGGGGAACTAGACACGTAGTACTAAATTTTTAATTAAGAGTTAAATTTTAAATAAAACTAAAAAATATATAGAAACTATAAAAGTTAACCACCATGCACGTTCAAAGTTAGTTTGTAATGGCTATACAAAAACAAAAGCTTTAAAGAATTAAAAATTAAAAAGCCTTTGAGGTTTTTTTAAAAATTTAATGATTTTTGGAAAATTTTTAATAAAATTTAAAAAACAAAAAAAGAACTTAACAAAAACTTTTTGCACTTTTCTAAACAAAAAACAATGGGTGAGTGAAGAAAAACCAAAACTATTAAAACAAAATTAAAAGAAAAGTTTTTGGGGGGGGGGGGGGTTAACTTTAATAAAAGCTTTAAAAGAAAACTTACCGCAATTTCTCCAAAGACCAATAGTGAGTGGCGCCATTTTTGGTATCAGTTACCTCTACGGCCACCAAAGTCTTGGACACGGGAGGTGAACCAAACTCATCCTCAGTTTGCAAAGGTGAAACGGCCGAGGCCAACTCAGGCGGCAAAGGAGAGTAGAGAGTATCGGTTAGTAGAGTAAACTGGAATTGAACTTTCTTTTTCAATTCCACAGAAATGGCATTAGCCTCTTTAAGGAAGATGGCATTGCCCCAGAGATCATCACGCAAAGAGGTGAATTGATGATAACGCCATTTGCGGAAGGCCCAGGCAGCCAAGCCAGCCTCACGGGCAGTCCAGCAAGATTCATAGGGAGGATTGGCTAAAAGAGAAGAGTAATAGAGATATAAACATTGGAAAAAAGTAAAAAAAGAAACTTACAATAAACTTCCTCATCCTGCAAGTCCTCAGGAGTATAGCTGCTGTACATGGACATGGTCATGGACTGTTCTTCTACCTGCTTTTGCAAAGCATCAATGCGGGCCTCATAGGACTGAAAAGATATTAATGTTAATATTGGAGCGCACAACAGGCCCGATAGTGGCCTAGGTGTATTTCTTCGGATTTGATGTAGTATACATCCTCCTATCAACCTAACCTAACCTAATATAGTTTTTGGGTTTGTTTGCAAAATCTTTAGTTAAAACTTACTTTACGTTGCTCCTCAAACTCTTGATCGGCCTGCAATTTTTCCCTTTTATACTGCTCTTCCAAAACATCCAAACGCTTTTGCATTTCGGCCTTCAAATCAATACCCTGCTTCTCTAATAACTCACACTGAGCGAAATTCCAATCTACTTCCTGGGTATCACATTTCTCATTTTCATTCTCTGCATTCTCGGTGATTTTCTCACGTATTTCACGAGCCTGCTCGGGATTAGTAAAACGGAATACATGATTCTTGCCCAAAATAACACGAGAACCAGTACGTAAAATTTCCGGTTCCACTAATTTGCGTCCGTTTAAATAACCAAAGCATCTTTATGGGGTATTAGAGTTACCGCATTATTACGATTTTCAAAGGTGCAGTGCTCTTTTAAAATATGTGAACCGGAGAGTTGTATGTCTTGGGGAACATTAGCCTCATGGGTGCCCAAGCGAGTAATGCCATCTTTTATATAGTAGAGTAGACATTCAGATAGATTGGGATCTTCATTCAAATTAACTAAATGAGGAGTTTTCTTGGGAGAGAAAACACCCACAGTTATGCCATCTTCTTTAACAGCCACGCCCATTTCGGCAAAGACCGCTTCACGTTGTAAGCGTATTTCTTCGGTACGCTTAAGTTTTTCTTCCCAGGTTTCGTTTAATTCTAAAAAAAAATGTAATAACAATTGAACTCGGTTTCTGCCGCCCCTTGGCACTTTTTACACCCTAACTTACCCGCTATCAATTTCTCACTAGCCTGCAATTGATCTACGGCCATTTCAGTGGTAGAACCATTACGATTACGGCCATTAGTGGGCGATTTCATATTATTCGCCCCGCCTCCTACACTGCCCACCACAACACCGCCTCCTCCACCACCGCCATTTTTAATTTCATCTTCTGCAAAAATATTACAAAAGTTATACAACCGTCAAAATAAAGGTTTCTATAAATAATAGTTTTAATTGCGTTTTTTGGTGGATTATTGTACTAGAAAAAAGGCACTTAATATATACACTGAAAAAAAAGCGTTACCAATTAATAAAACTTTAATATAAAGACAATACACAATTTGTATAAAAAGGACAAAATACAACATTTAAAAAGTTTTAAAAATGTTTATTAAAATCGATTTTCATTGAATATTTGAAGAAAAAAACACACGTTTTCTATGAAAAGCTTTTTAAGGGGCCTTGGAAGTATGGCCAAGACGCTTAAGAAGGGCCGGGAAAGAAAACACTTATTAAAACTTTCAACAGATATTGATATTCTATTACAATGGGAATTGGTTGGACAGCATAGGAACACTTTTTTATGGGATAGAAACCATGGAATAACTTTAAAAGATCTCAGCAAAAAGAAATTGGGAAACAACTTTGATTCATAAGGTGTTTAGTTGGTGGAAGGAGTAACACAGAAATAAATATACCAAATAGTTTTTCTTGTTTTAGAAGAGTTACAGCTATATATATACTATATTAGTTTCGTCAGAAGCGTATTCTCCATACGTCTACTATCCTGTTGAGTTGCAGGACCATATTTTCGAGTCTAACTTCATCTTTCGGAAGGATGATCCCACCACCATTATATGGGGGTTTTTCGAAAAACCAAAATAGTATAAATCATGCTATAAACTCCTTCAATGACCTCTCGAAGTCCTCAGGTATTGAAGTAGCGAAATTGGTTGACAATTCCCACAACACCAACAACCTACTAATTGTTCAACTTACTAGAAGATTGGTAATTGCAGAAAAACAGAAGAAAGGGACTAAACAAAATGCGGTTTAGGCATTTTAGCGCTAAAACCAAACCCTAAGAACTGATATTTTCCTAGGAACTGCAATGATCATATTGAGATTCAGTTTGACAGCTTTTAAGCTTCAAAAGTTCATGCCTGCATCTGTATCGATAACTTCTTTTTGAGCACACAGAAATTTATAAGCCGTTTTACATTATAGGTCAAAAGGTTACTCATTCTATTATATAGCTACGATTATAACATATTCACAAACCAAATGATGGCTCTAGTTTCATTCGTGAGCCAACAATGTGTTTTAATAATTTTAAACCTTATTAGTGAACCTTTTTATAAGCAATAATAAAATAATTAATTATACCTAAAAGCAACATAAATAGCTGAAAAATAAAAAATTAAGTGAATAATATTATTAAAAATATTAAAAAAATTCCTACAATTAGTTATTATTACAATAACTAGCGAAAATTTGGTATTGTATGGATTCTACATAATTCGAACAACTGTTCTAGAAATTGGTGGTTAACTAAACAATTGAAAGGTGTTTTAAGATGGAAATAAGCATAATTAGAAACTAAGTTATTGGTTAGTGTTTAATTAAAACTGAACTAGAACAGAACAGAACTAGAACAGAACTAAAGAACTGAACTAGAACTGAACTAGAACTGAACTAGAACTGAACTAGAACTGAACTAGAACTGAACTAGAACTGAACTAGAACTGAACTAGAACTGAACTAGAACTGAACTAGAACAGAACTAGAACTGAACTAGAACTGAACTAGAATTGAACTAGAATTGAACTAGAACTGAACTAGAACTGGACCAGAACTGAACTAGAACTGAACTAGAACTGAACTAGAACTGAACTAGAACTGAACTAGAACTGAACTAGAACTGAACTAGAACTGAACTAGAACTGAACTAGAACTGAACTAAAACTGAACTAGAACTGAACTAGAACTAGAACTGAACTAGAACTGAACTAGAACTGAACTAGAACTGAACTAGCACTGAACTAGAACTGAACTAGAACTGAACTAGAACTGAACTGGGACTAAACTGGAACTGAACTAGAACTGAACTAGAACTGAACTAGAACTGAACTAGAACTGAACTAGAACTGAACTAGAACTGAACTAGAACTGAACTAGAACTGAACTAGAACTGAACTAGAACTGAACTAGAACTGAACTAGAACTGAACTAGAACTGAACTAGAACTGACTAGAACTGAACTAGAACCTGAACTAGAACCTGAACTAGAACTGAACTAGAACTGAACTAGAACTGAACTAGAACTGAACTAGAACTGAACTAGAACTGAACTAGAACTGAACTAGAACTGAACTAGAACTGAACTAGAACTGAACTAGAACTGAACTAGAACTGAACTAGAACTGACTAGAACTGAACTAGAACTGAACTAGAACTGAACTAGAACTGAACTAGAACTGAACTAGAACTGAACTAGAACTGAACTAGACTGAACTAGAACTGACTAGACTGAACTAGAACTGAACTAGAACTGAACTAGAACTGAACTAGAACTGAACTAGAACTGAACTAGAACTGAACTAGAACTGAACTAGAACTGAACTAGAACTGAACTAGAACTGAACTAGAACTGAACTAGAAACTGAACTAGAACTGAACTAGAACTGAACTAGAACTGAACTAGAACTGAACTAGAACTGAACTAGAACTGAACTAGAACTGAACTAGAACTGAACTAGAACTGAACTAGAACTGAACTAGAACTGAACTAGAACTGACTAGAACTGAACTAGAACTGAACTAGAACTGAACTAGAACTGAACTAGAACTGAACTAGAACTGAACTAGAAACTGAACTAGAACTGAACTAGAACTGAACTAGAACTGAACTAGAACTGAACTAGAACTGAACTAGAACTGAACTAGAACTGAACTAGAACTGAACTAGAACTGAACTAGAACTGAACTAGAACTGAACTAGAACTGAACTAGAACTGAACTAGAACTGAACTAGAACTGAACTAGAACTGAACTAGAACTGAACTAGAACTGAACTAGAACTGAACTAGAACTGAACTAGAACTGAACTAAACTGAACTAGAACTGAACTAGAACTGAACTAGAACTGAACTAGAACTGAACTAGAACTGAACTAGAACTGAACTAGAACTGAACTAGAACTGAACTAGAACTGAACTAGAACTGAACTAGACTGAACTAGAACCGAACCAGAACTGAACTAGAACGAAGTAGGACTGAACTAGAACTAAACTAGAACTGAACTAGAACTGAACTAGAACTGAACTAGAACTGAACTAGAACTGAACTAGAACTGAACTAGAACTGAACTAGAACTGAACTAGAACTGAACTAGAACTGAACTAGAACTGAACTAGAACTGAACTAGAACTGAACTAGAACTGAACTAGAACTGAACTAGAACTGAACTAGAACTGAACTAGAACTGAACTAGAACTGAACTAGAACTGAACTGAACTAGAACTGAACTAGAACTGAACTAGAAATTAACTGAACTAGAAATTAACTGAACTAGAACTGAACTAGAACTAAACTAAACTGAACTAGAAATTAACTGAACTAGAACTGAACTAGAACTGGACTAGAACTGAACTAGAACTGAACTAGAACTGAACTAGAACTGAACTAGAACTGAACTAGAACTGAACTAGAACTGAACTAGAACTGAACTAGAACTGAACTAGAACTGAACTAGAACTGAACTAGAACTGAACTAGAACTGCACTGAACTAGAACTGAACTAGAACCGAACCAGAACTGAACTAGGACCGAACTGGACTGAACTAGAACTAACTAGAACTAAACTAGAACTGAACTAGAACTGATCTAGAATTGGACTGAACTGAATATTCAAGACTGGGTTTTAAACAGGTCTATACTGAAGACCAATAGACTTGGATCTATAATCATGACTATAGATTGATCTCTAGTCATGACTGATCTATAGTCGAGACTATAGTCTGATCTGTAGTCAACACTATAGCCTGATCTATAAAATTATATACTTGGCTATAGTCAATTTAATATACTGCTCTTAGACCGATCTATAGTCAAGACTGTAGACTAATCTATAGTCAATTACTATAGACCGATTTATAGTTAAGACTATATACTGATCAGTAATAAAGACTATACTCAAACTTTTGCTTATTCGATGTTATACTCCATTGGCCACTAACTCTATAAATCCTTAAATAATCAGCTATAAAATTACTCTTGCAAATAGGTACACATATACATATTTAGCTGAGTTTTTTGGACATACATTTGTACATACAAACAAAAGTTTTCAAAACTAATTAGTAACACTTTTAACATTTGCCCAAAGCAGGAATGGTACTTCTATGTGTAGACATTTTGTATATAGTATTATGTATAAAACTTTTTTACATACACATATACACAGACACACACACACGTACATATTATTATAAATACCATAATTTATGTATATATAAAATTTATATAAGTAAAAAATATATGTATATCAAATGAAGAAAGTAAGCAGTGTATTTAGTATACAAGTTTATATAATTAAATATATTTCGTAGTAAGTAATATTTTTTGATATGTAATAGCAAAAAGCGTGACAAAATTATACTCTATATATGTAAATAGTATTTGTTTGTATCTAGATATTATATACTTTTTTGATATGCTATTTTTTTTTTTTTTTTGAGTATATAAAACTACTTACTATTTGTATCTCGTTTTCACAAACCACTTTGCCATCAGGCCCCTAAATATATATTGTAAATAATAATTATGAAATAATTACCATACTATGATTTTTTTGTTTTTGTTTTTTGATTTTAGCTATTTAGTTTATATTTATATATAATTTGTGATTTAATGAAAAACTTTCTAATAGAATAAAATTCGAACAATACATTTAGAACGCACTGTGTTAGAGACAAGTTTTTCAAGGATAAATATTGACTTTTATATTTTGGATTTCTGGGGGGAAATTGTGTTTAAATAGAAACAGTTTTATGTAAGTTATAAAAAAGAAATGAAAATGGGAGAATTTTATTCAACAAACAAACTAGAACTAGAACAGACTAGATCCAAACTAGAGCAGAACTAACAACAGGAACAACAGAACTAGAACAGAACTGAACGCACCTAGACAGAACTAGAACAGAACTAGAACAGAACTAGAACAGAACTAGAACAGAACAGAACTAGAAAACTAGAACAGAACTAGAACAGAACAGAACTAGAACTAGAACAAACTAGAACAGAACTAGAACAGAACTAGAACAGAACTAGAAACAGAACTAGAACAGAACTAGAACAGAACTAGAACAGAACTAGAACAGAACTAGAACAGAACTAGAACAGAACTAGAACAGAACTAGAACAGAACTAGAACAGAACTAGAACAGAACTAGAACAGAACTAGAACAGAACTAGAACAGAACTAGAACAGAACTAGAACAGAACTAGAACAGAACTAGAACAGAACTAGAACAGAACTAGAACAGAACTAGAACAGAACTAGAACAGAACTAGAACTGAACTAGAACAGAACTAGAACAGAACTAGAACAGATCTAGAACAGAACTAGAACAGAACTAGAACAGAACTAGAACTGAACTAGAACTGAACTAGAACTGAACTGGAACTGAACTAGAACTGAAATAGAACTGAACTAGAACTGAACTAGAACTGAACTAGAACTGAACTAGAACTGAACTAGAACTGAACTAGAACTGAACTAGAACTGAACTAGAACTGAACTAGAACTGAACTAGAACTGAACTAGAACTGAACTAGAACTGAACTAGAACTGAACTAGAACTGAACTAGAACTGAACTAGAACTGAACTAGAACTGAACTAGAACTGAACTAGAACTGAACTAGAACTGAACTAGAACTGAACTAGAACTGAACTAGAACTGAACTAGAACTGAACTAGAACTGAACTAGAACTGAACTAGAACTGAACTAGAACTGAACTAGAACTGAACTAGAACTGAACTAGAACTGAACTAGAACTGAACTAGAACTGAACTAGAACTGAACTAGAACTGAACTAGAACTGAATCTAGAACTGAACTAGAACTGAACTAGAACTGAACTAGAAACTGAACTAGAACTGAACTAGAACTGAACTAGAACTGAACTAGAACTGAACTAGAACTGAACTAGAACTGAACTAGAACTAAACTAGAACTGAACTAGAACTGAACTAGAACTGAACTAGAACTGAACTAGAACTGAACTAGAACTGAAACTAGAACTGAACTAGAACTGAACTAGAACTGAACTAGAACTGAACTAGAAACTGAACTAGAACTGAACTAGAACTGAACTAGAACTGAACTAGAACTGAACTAGAACTGAACTAGAAATGAACTAGAACTGAACTAGAACTGAACTAGAACTGAACTAGAACTGAACTAGAACTGAACTAGAACTGAACTAGAACTGAACTAGAACTGAACTAGAACTGAACTAAACTGAACTAGAACTGAACTAGAACTGAACTAGAACTGAACTAGAACTGAACTAGAACTGAACTAGAACTGAACTAGAACTGAACTAGAACTGAACTAGAACTGAACTAGAACTGAACTAGAACTGAACTAGAACTGAACTAGAACTGAACTAGAACTGAACTAGAACTGAACTAGAACTGAACTAGAACTGAACTAGAACTGAACTAGAACTGAACTAGAACTGAACTAGAACTAAACTAGAACTGAACTAGAACTGAACTAGAACTGAACTAGAACTGAACTAAACTAAACTAGAACTGAACTAAACTAGAACTGAACTAGAACTGAACTAGAACTGAACTAGAACTGAACTAGAACTGAACTAGAACTGAACTAGAACTGAACTAGAACTGAACTAGAACTGAACTAGAACTGAACTAGAACTGAACTAGAACTGAACTAGAACTGAACTAGAACTGAACTAGAACTGAACTAGAACTGAACTAGAACTGAACTAGAACTGAACTAGAACTGAACTAGAACTGAACTAGAACTGAACTAGAAACTGAACTAGAACTGAACTAGAACTGAACTAGAACTGAACTAGAACTGAACTAGAACTGAACTAGAACTGAACTAGAACTGAACTAGAACTGAACTAGAACTGAACTAGAACTGAACTAAAACTAAACTAGAACTAAACTAGAACTGAACTAGAACTGAACTAGAACTGAACTAGAACTGAACTAGAAACTGAACTAGAACTGAACTAGAACTGAACTAGAACAGAACTAAAACTAGACATGTTTCCTAATAACTTCCCCCAGAGATCGTTATAAAAACTTCGTTTCAATGTCAAAGGTCTAATTCATTAAAAAATTATTTAAAATCTTAGGAATTTGTTTATATAAAATTTTCAAACGCTTGCTAAAAAAGACCCTTGAAAAAGTGCGTTCCACAATGTATTGTTTCTTTTACTGTACATGTGAAAATGTACACAATAATTAAATTTTTAAAAATTACTAATTAAGTGCTTTACAATTTCAAAAAGAAACTCTTTAAACTAAAATAATTTTTCAATAAACAAATTTATCCTTCATGGTATATATATATAAAAAACTCGAAAATAAACTTAATAATAACAAATTACCTTCTTGTACTTCAATGCCTTCGGCCTTCAAAAGATCGCGTAATTTTTGAATTTCCTCCTTAAGTTCGCGTATAAGTTTAGCATTGGCATCTTCATTGACCACAGCTTTGCAAACAATTTGTTTAGCACGATCGGCATATCTGAAAGTTAAAATATTATGCATAGTAAATTACTAAAATTAACAAAAAAGAATGAACTATTAAAAAAAACTTACCTCAAAGTACTTAAAGTCTCATCATAATTAATATCTGCTGGTGATATGGCTGCTATCATAGCAGTTTTGGAATTACCACCTAAATTTTCGCGCAGCAACCAGGTTAAAACCGAATCGCGATAAGGTATAAAATCAGCTTTTTTAGATTTTTTACTTTTGGAAGCCTAACGCGAAAGGAAGTTTTATAAGTTAGTAAAATGTTCAATTAGAAATTTATTGGGTTTTAAAGAAAAGAAAGGTTTTAACAAAATAACGTTATTTGTTATTTGTTAAATAACCTAAAAAGGTTTTAAACAAAATTAAAACATGCTTACTACAACTTAAAAATTATGAACAGTCCAGAGAATGTGTTTGTGTAATGAATAGTTCTATATTAGAATTGAAATAGAACTGAAATAGAACTGAAATAAAACTGAACTAGAACTGAAATAGAACTGAACTAGAACTGAACTAGAACTGAACTAGAACTGAACTAGAACTGAACTAGAACTGAACTAGAACTGAACTAGAACTGAACTAGAACTGAACTAGAACTGAACTAGAAATGAACTAGAACTGAACCAGAACTGAACTAGAACTGAACTAGAATTGAACTAGAAGTGAACTAGAACTGAACTAGTACTGAACTAGAAACTGAACTAGAATTGAACTAGAACTGAACTAGAACTGAACTACAACTGAACTAGAACTGAACTAGAATTGAACTAGAACTGAACTAGAACTGAACTAGAACTGAACTAGAACTGAACTAGAACTGAACTAGAACTGAACTAGAACTGAACTAGAACTGAACTAGAACTGAACTAGAACTGAACTAGAACTGAACTAGAACTGAACTAGAACTGAACTAGAACTGAACTAGAACTGAACTAGAACTGAACTAGAACTGAACTAGAACTGAAGTAGAACTAGAACTGAACTAGAACTGAACTAGAACTGAACTAGAACTGAACTAGAACTGAACTAGAACTGAACTAGAACTGAACTAGAACTGAACTAGAACTGAACTAGAACTGAACTAGAACTGAACTAGAACTGAACTAGAACGAACTAGAACTGAACTAGAACTGAACTAGAACTGAACTAGAACTGAACTAGAACTGAACTAGAACTGAACTAGAACTGAACTAGAACTGAACTAGAACTGAACTAGAACTGAACTAGAACTGAACTAGAACTGAACTAGAACTGAACTAGAAACTGAACTAGAACTGAACTAGAACTGAACTAGAACTAAACTAGAACTGAAATTGAACTGAACTAGAACTGAACTAGAACTGAACCAGAACTGAACTAGAACTGAACTAGAACTGAACTAGAAACTGAACTAGAACTGAACTAGAACTGAACTAGAACTGAACTAGAAATGAACTAGAACTGAACTAGAACTGAACAAGAAACTGAACTAGAACTGAACTAGAACTGAACTAGAACTGAACTAGAATGAACTAGAACTGAACTAGAACTGAACTAGAACTGAACTTGAACAATGAACTAGAACTGAACTAGAACTGAACTAGAACTGAACTAGAACTGAACTAGAACTGAACTAGAATTGAACTAGAACTGAACTAGAACTGAACTAGAACTGAACTTGAACTGAACTAGAACTGAACTAGAAACTGAACTAGAACTGAACTAGAACTGAACTAGAACTGAACTAGAACTAAACTAGAACTGAATTAGAACTGAACTAGGACTGAACTAGAACTGAACTAGAACTGAACTAGAACTGAACTAGAACTGAACTAGAACTGAACTAGAACTGAACTAGAACTGAACTAGAACTGAACAGAACTAACTAGAACTGAACTAGAACTGAACTAGAACTGAACTAGAACTGAAACTAGAACTGAACTAGAACTGAACTAGAACTGAACTAGAACTGAACTAGAACTGAACTAGAACTGAACTAGAACTGAACTAGAACTGAACTAGAACTGAACTAGAACTGAACTAGAACTGAACTAGAACTGAACTAGAACTGAACTAGAACTGAACTAGAACTGAACTAGAACTGAACTAGAACTGAACTAGAACTGAACTAGAACTGAACTAGAACTGAACTAGAACTGAACTAGAACTGAACTAGAACTGAACTAGAATGAACTAGAACTGAACTAGAACTGAACTAGAACTGAACTAGAACTGAACTAGAACTGAACTAGAACTGAACTAGAACTGAACTAGAACTGAACTGAACTGAACTAGAACTGAACTAGAACTGAACTAGAACTGAACTAGAACTGAACTAGAACTGAACTAGAACTGAACTAGAACTGAACTAGAACTGAACTAGAACTGAACTAGACTGAATTGAACTAGAACTGAACTGAACTGACTAGAACTGAACGAAACTAGAACTGAACTAGAACTGAACTAGAACTGAACTAGAACTGAACTAGAACTGAACTAGAACTGAACTAGAACTGAACTAGAACTTAACTAGAACTGAACTAGAACTGAACTAGAACTGAACTAGAACTGAATTAGAAACTGAACTAGAACTGAACTAGAACTGAACTAGAACTAGCTAGAACTAACTAGAACTGAACTAGAACTGAACTAGAACAGAACTGAACCTTGAAATTAGTACTAGTACTAGAACTGAATTAGAACTAGAAATGAACTAAAATTAAACATTATTCCCGTTAATTTCGAAAATTATCGTACATGTCTTTAGGTCTCCATGTATTTTGTGTTGTTTTCGTCAACATGCATAAAATGATATTTGGATGAATTATGATTGAAACAAAAATAATTTAAATTTAAAAAACTTTTTTTAACAAAAATTTCAAAATTAACATTTCTTTTTTTTCTTCTTGTTATTTTAAATAAATTCTTTAATACTTTTAAAATTCGCTTAACTTTCATACTTACAGACTGTTTTAATTATACAGACACACATTAAAACGTTTCAAAATTAAGAACCACAAATTATCGATGAAAGAAAATAAAGTGAAATTTTTGGGTTTTTAGAAAATTGTTGTGATATTAAAACATACATATTTGTTTTCAATAAATAATTTTCAAAAAACAAGAATCGTACAACCAATTGTAACAATATATATATACAACGATATAAATAACCAAAAAAATTAAAATAATAATGTTAAGTGATAACTAGTTAAAAATGATAACTGTGTTTTGATTAGTATTAAATCACTGTTTCTGTAAAACTAAGAAACGTTTATAAAGAATTACAAATGAGAGATATTTCTCATTTATAATTCTGGACAAATTCTTTCTAAGTTCTACAAAAACAGTTTTAGATCTTTTTTTAAATTATTTAAAAACTTACAATTTCAGCTAGAGCAGAAATAACTTTGCCCAATGTTGTCAGGGATTTATTGATGTTAGCACCCTCCTTAAGACGTGTACCCTTGGCTCCAGTCGAATCGGCTCTTTCGGAACCGGCCAAATCGACTAAACTGATTTTCGACACCTTTTCGGTAATCAAATCGTCATGGTGTCATGACGTCTTGGGTAAAGAATATAGTGAAGACAGCATGAGAACGAGAACTGGTCTCATTCATGTTAGTGGCGGCCACTGTACGGGCCTTATTACCCTCATCTATGAGATCGTGTATATCTTCGTAACTGGTTACAAGCCAGTTTGGAGAGATCCTCTACATAGGGACCCATAAAGGATGTTCACGTTACACGTAAATTACCCTTATTTTTGGGATTTAACAAATCACGCACTCGTTCGCAATAGATTTCCATATAAGAGACCTCGACCTGCAAAACAATGAAAGTTTGTTAAGAAGCAAAAAAAAAAAATCAAGTTTTTAAAAAACTCACCGAATATTTTAATTCTCCCGTTTTCTGTGGAACGTATACGATTGAATAGATCTTTACAGATCATGGGTATTATACCCTCTTGATGTTCTTCCTGTTTACCCATCATGGTATAAGATTTACCAGCTCCTGTCTGCCATAGGCAAATATACACACATTATAGCCATCAAAGGAATGCTGTAACATTTCTTCGCCTATATCTTTATAGACCATAGCCTGTGTGGAAAAGTCAGGATCTTTGGGCTGAAATTTAAAAAAATTGTGTCATTATTTGTTATTTAAGAAACAGAGATAGAGAGAAACCACTTACATTATGTGACCAATAGGAATAATCAAAATTGAAAACGTTTTATAGCTTCACTGGAATTGGGTGGAACTTTTGGATTTGTTATGGCTGCAAACATATGAATCAAATCATTTTTAATTAAAGTTTGAATAAGTTGAATAATTTTAAATTTGGTCCCCCAAATATACTCTAGTCCACGCTACAGTCAATAGCATAGATAACAGTCTTTGGTTTGGACTATAGATTTGACTATAGTCAGGTCTATAGTCTGGACATATTCTAGTCTATAGCCCAGACTATAGTCTAGCCTAAAGTTCACACACTATACTCTATAATCCGGACTATAGTCCTATTGTTCGAACTACAGTCAAGTCTATAGTCCAGACTATCGTCTAGAGGGTAGTAACAGACTAGAGTCTTATCCATAGGCCAGACTGGAGACTGATCTTGAACTAGAACTGAACTAGAGCTGAACTAGAACTGAACTAGAACTGAACTAGAACTGAACTAGAACGGAACTAGAACTGAACAGAACTGAACTAGAACTGAACTAGAACTGAACTAGAACTGAACTAGAACTGGAACTAGAACAGAACTAGAACTTGAACTAGAACGGAACTAGAACTGAACTAGAACTGACTAGAACTGAACTAGAACTGAACTAGAACTGAACTAGAACTGAACTAGAACTGAACTAAGAAGAACTAGACTAGAACTTGAACTGAACTAGAACTGAACTAGAACTGAACTAGAACTGAACTAGAACTGAACTAGAACTGACTAGAACTGAACTAGAACTGACTAGAACGGAACTAGAACTGAACTAGAACTGAACTAGAACTGAACTAGAACTGAACTAGAACGAACTAGGAACGAGAACTAGAACTGAACTAGAACTGACTAGAACTGAACTAGAACTGAACTAGAACTGAACTAGAACTGAACTAGAACTGAACTAGAACTGAACTAGAACTGAACTAGAACTGAACTAGAACTGAACTAGAACTGAACTAGAACTGAACTAGAACTGAACTAGAACTGAACTAGAACTGAACTAGAACTGAACTAGAACTGAACTAGAACTGAACTAGAACAGAACTAGAACTGAACTAGAACTGAACTAGAACTGAACTAGAACTGAACTAGAACTGAACTAGAACTGAACTAGAACTGAACTAGAACTGAACTAGAACTGAACTGAACTAGAACAGAACTAGAACTGAACTAGAACTGAACTAGAACTGAACTAGAACTGAACTAGAACTGAACTAGAACTGAACTAGAACTGAACTAGAACTGAACTAGAACTGAACTAGAACTGAACTAGAACTGAACTAGAACTGAACTAGAACTGAACTAGAACTGAACTAGAACTGAACTAGAACTAGAACTGAACTAGAACTGAACTAGAACTGAACTAGAACTGAACTAGAACTGAACTAGAACTGAACTAGAACTGAACTAGAACTGAACTAATACTGAACTAGAACTGAACTAGAACTGAACTAGAACTGAACTAGAACTGAACTAAACTGAACTAGAACTGAACTAGAACTGAACTAGAACTGAACTAGAACTGAACTAGAACTGAACTAGAACTGAACTAGAACTGAACTAGAACTGAACTAGAACTGAACTAGAACTGAACTAGAACTGAACTAGAACTGAACTAGAACTGAACTAGAACTGAACTAGAACTGAACTAGAACTGAACTAGAACTGAACTAGAACTGAACTAGAACTGAACTAGAACTGAACTAGAACTGAACTAGAACTGAACTAGAACTGAATGAACTAGAAACTGAACTAGAACTGAACTAGAACTGAACTAGAACTGAACTAGAACTGAACTAGAACTGAACTAGAACTGAACTAGAACTGAACTAGAACTGAACTAGAACTGAACTAGAACTGAACTAGAACTGAACTAGAACTGAACTAGAACTGAACTAGAACTGAACTAGAACTGAACTAGAACTGAACTAGAACTGAACTAGAACTGAACTAGAACTGAACTAGAACTGAACTGAACTGAACTGAACTAGAACTGAACTAAACTGAACTAGAACTGAACTAGAACTGAACTAGAACTGAACTAGAACTGAACTAGAACTGAACTAGAACTGAACTAGAACTGAACTAGAACTGAACTAGAACTGAACTAGAACTGAACTAGAACTGAACTAGAACTGAACTAGAACTGAACTAGAACTGAACTAGAACTGAACTAGAACTGAACTAGAACTGAACTAGAACTGAACTAGAACTGAACTAGAACTGAACTAGAACTGAACTAGAACTGAACTAGAACTGAACTAGAACTGAACTAGAACTGAACTAGAACTGAACTAGAACTGAACTAGAACTGAACTAGAACTGAACTAGAACTGAACTAGAACTGAACTAGAACTGAACTAGAACTGAACTAGAACTGAACTAGAACTGAACTAGGACTGAACTAGACTATAGTTTATTCTATATTCCAGATTTATGGCCAAAAAATGTCTATAGTCCCGAGTATGATCTTGTCCGCAGACCAGACTATAGTCTTGTCTATAATACAGACTATAGTATATTCTAGCCAAGACAATGGTCCAGATTATAATCTAGTCTATAGTTAAGATTAGAATTTAGCTTATAGTCTGGATTATTGTCTGTTTGGTATAGTCTACAGTCCAAATTATATTTTAGTTTATAGCCCCAGCTAAGTCTTGTAGCAAGATGCATGCTATTGTCTAGTCTAAAGACCTCAATCTAAAGTCCAAACCTGTACTATAGGCTATAGTTTAGTTAAGAATTAAAATATGATTTTTTATTTCATCACTTACCGGTGGTGGTGCCATCGAACATTTCTATAATACATTTTGATTCTCGACTGATTTCCCTTGAGTTAAAGGGTCGCACTCGAACCGCCACTTTAACGGACGACATGTTGGCGGTGAGTGGGCCAAATAAAATTTGGCCTTAATTTATGTGAAAAGAATTTATGGACCTAAAATAAAAGTAAAGAAAAAGAAGAAAATTTAGTAAATATTCAAATAGTTTCTAATAGTTTCCCTTTTTTAAACTAACAAAATTTCCCCACTTTTTCCAACAATTTGTATAAAAATCCTTTAATATTTAATTCCTTTAATCGTAAATCACCTTTAACGTATTAACTTGACTAAAAATAACTAACAATAACAATTGGAACTTTTCATATACAAGGCAAATTTTATTTATTCATAAATAACTTCCAATACTTGTCTCCTTGTAAAATTATTGCTTTAACAAACTGTAGCAAATAAACTACCCCCTGTTAATTTTGCCATAAAATAAAGACTTAAGTAGTCATAATATCAAAATATTTATTACTTTTACACACAAATTTCCTAATTCCCGAAATACTAAAATAAAATAAATCACAACAATTTTATTAGTAGACAGGAGCAGCATATGATCCACACAATAAATTTCTAATACAATAGAAGAAAGAAAGCAAAAACCATAACATTTCCAATGCGCACATAAAATCCACATACAAACAGTCCAATACGTATATATGTAAAGAAGAAGAAGCAGCAGCAGAAGTACAAATACAACAATAAAAAACATATGAAATTCCAAAATTTGTTGCATGAGTCATCGTAACAAAAGGATTCCATAAAAAAGTAACCCCCAAACCCCGCTATCAAACACCCTTTTAAGTTTTACTACTATTTTGAAAAGAATGAAAAATTTTTAAATTTTTCAAAAAAGTTTTAATTAAATGCTAAAATATTAACAATATATAAAGTTTAATTTAAAACTATTTTGATTATTATGCATTATTTTGATTCTTTTCTTCCTAGTTTAGTTTCCAAATGTTATCACATCTTCGTGCCAGGAAGTTATGGCAACACTAACAATAATTAGGTGGGACCCCACCTTAATCAATATTTGCTTTTCTATTAGTTATTTAACTAATATTATAAATATTAGTTATAATTATGTTTATTACAATTGAAATTGTTATTTAGTAAGACTTCAACAAAATTTAAGTTTCGAAAATATTACTATAATTACCAACTATTTCTACTTTTTATAGTCTTGATATTAATAGGATACAAGCTTTCTAAGTCCCTACATCTAGACTATATAGCATTTTGCTTGTTGACGGACAGACATTTTCAATACAAAAAAAATGTAAGGACTTGAATTAAATACTAGATCCTTAAAAAATTAGATTTAAATTAAATACTTTCCCTGTAGCAAAAAGTCCATTGACTGAACTATGGACTATACTATAGACTAGACTACAGACTAGACTATAGACTTGAATATAGACAAGACTATAGACTTGACTACAGACTAGACTATATACTTGAATATAGACTAGACTATACACTATAATATAGACTATAGACTGGACTACAGACTATACTATAGACTAGACTAGACCATAGAGAGGTTAGACTATAGACTAGACTATAGAATGGACTAATAGACTAGACTAGACTAGACTATAGACTAGACTATAGACGAGACTATAGACTAGACTATAGACTAGACTATAGACTAGACTATAGACTAGACTATAGACTAGACTATAGACTAGACTATAGACTAGACTATAGACTAGACTATAGACTAGACTATAGACTAGACTATAGACTAGACTATAGACTAGACTATAGACTAGACTATAGACTAGACTATACTAGACTATAGACTACTATAGACTAGACTAAAGACTAGACCTAGACTAGACTTAGACTAGACTATAGACTAGACTATAGACTAGACTATAGACTAGACTATAGACTAGACTATAGACTAGACTATAGACTAGACTATAGACTAGACTATAGACTAGACTATAGACTAGACTATAGACTAGACTATAGACTAGACTATAGACTAGACTATAGACTAGACTATAGACTAGACTATAGACTAGACTATAGACTAGACTATAGACTAGACTATAGACTAGACATAGACCTAGACTATAGACTAGACTATAGACTAGACTATAGACTAGACTATAGACTAGACTATAGACTAGACTATAGACTAGACTATAGACTAGACTATAGACTAGACTATAGACTAGACTATAGACTAGACTATAGACTAGACTATAGACTAGACTATAGACTAGACTATAGACTAGACTATAGACTAGACTATAGACTAGACTATAGACTAGACTATAGACTAGACTATAGACTAGACTATAGACTAGACTATAGACTAGACTATAGACTAGACTATAGACTAGACTATAGACTAGACTAGACTAGACTATAGACTAGACTATAGACTAGACTATAGACTAGACTATAGACTAGACTATAGACTAGACTATAGACTAGACTATAGACTAGACTATAGACTAGACTATAGACTAGACTATAGACTAGACTATAGACTAGACTATAGACTAGACTATAGACTATACTATAGACTAGACTATAGACTAGACTATAGACTAGACTATAGACTAGACTATAGACTAGACTATAGACTAGACTATAGACTAGACTATAGACTAGACTATAGACTAGACTATAGACTAGACTATAGACTAGACTATAGACTAGACTATAGACTAGACTATAGACTAGACTATAGACTAGACTATAGACTAGACTATAGACTAGACTATAGACTAGACTATAGACTAGACTATAGACTAGACTCTAGACTAGACTATAGATAGACTATAGACTAGACTATAGACTAGACTATAGACTAGACTATAGACTAGACTATAGACTAGACTATAGACTAGACTATAGACTAGACTATGACGACTATAGACTAGACTATAGACTAGACTATAGACTAGACTATAGACTAGACTATAGACTAGACTATAGACTAGACTATAGACTAGACTATAGACTAGACTATAGACTAGACTATAGACTAGACTATAGACTAGACTATAGACTAGACTATAGACTAGACTATAGACTAGACTATAGACTAGACTATAGACTAGACTATAGACTAGACTATAGACTAGACTATAGACTAGACTATAGACTAGACTATAGACTAGACTATAGACTAGACTATAGACTAGACTATAGACTAGACTATAGACTAGACTATAGACTAGATATAGACTAGACTATAGACTAGACTATAGACTAGACTATAGACTAGACTATAGACTAGACTATAGACTAGACTATAGACTAGACTATAGACTAGACTATAGACTAGACTATAGACTAGACTATAGACTAGACTATAGACTAGACTATAGACTAGACTGTAGACTAGACTATAGACTAGACTATAGACAGACTATAGACTAGACTATAGACTAGACTATAGACTAGACTATAGACTAGACTATAGACTAGACTATAGACTAGACTATACACCAGATGACAGAACAAATTATATATAAATTGTAGACCAGGCAATAGTCCAGAATATATTCCAAGCTATAAATCAGACAATAATCGAGACTTTAGTATATAGTAGTAGTTCATATTATAAACTAGAGAATAGTACAAACTATAGATTCATTATAGTCTAGGCCTAAGACCAAACTTTAGTCCAGACAGTAAACACAAAACAATAAAATATATCAGACAATAGTCCAGACAATAGACCAGACTTTAATCAGTACTATTAAAAAGATTATGGACCCGATAGAGAATCAGTCTATAAAACAGACTATAGCCCAACGTATAGAATAGACTATATTCTAGACAATAATACATATTATAAACCGTACTGTAGTCCAGACTATAGAAAAAAATATTCTAGAATGTAGACCTGACTACAATTCAGACTATAGATCAAATTGTATTCGAGACTCCAGATTATAGACTAGACTAGACAATAGTACAGACTACAGTCCAGACTATAGACCATATAATACACCGGGCAAGAGAGCAGATTATATTCCGGTCAATAGAACAGTTTATAGCTAAGACAATAGACAACACTATGGACCAGACTATTGGAGTTAATATAGATTAGACTATGGGAAAATATATAGTTAAAATTCTATTTTACATTAGATTTCCTTCAATATTTCTTCAAAGAAGTCTACATTTCTAGATAAAAATCTATTTTGAAATTCTTAAAGCAAATTAAAAAATCCATTTGTTTCGATTTAAAATTTACCTTTCGGTTTAGTAATGATTTGTAGAGAGTAATCCTTAGGATTAACACTTTTATAGGCGAGTCATTGATTTTCACTTTTTTCAAATAGTAAATTTTTTAGTTATTTTTTAAATTTTAAACACGTTGCACTTTTTTTTATAGTATTTTAAACTTTTCAGCTTTTTTAATGAAAATTTGGCTGTAATTTTATAACTTTTAATAAAATAACACACATGTTTTTAAAATTTCATAAAATGGTATATGCTTTTTAAAAAATATTTAGAAAACATGCACAGGTAATGATTTAAAAAAAAATTAATTAATTAATTACAAAATTTTAGAAAAATTTTCAAAAGTCATTAATAGAATAAAGCAAAAACAACTTTATATGGGTAAAATTTTATTACAAAATCTATAATTTTTTAATAAAATTTCTATAAAATTAAAGAAAAATTACTTGTTTTTACAAATTTAATAATTATTATTTATTTATCCGAAAAATATCGTCTTTTATTAAACTAATTACAGGCCCTTGATTATAAAATTTCTTGAGAATAAAGGATATAATGGAAAAATACCTCTTTCTAACCATATGATTTGGTTGGAAATGATTTGCGTTAGTCATAGCTTAGTAGAAGAACAAGAACAAGAGAATAGAAAAGCTCTAACAAAAGAGAGTGTACAAAAATATTAGATTATCCTTCATTGTTATTGTTTTTTTTTTTTTTTGCTTTTAATTTGACGTATTATATTGTTATTGTTGTGTTTTCATTTTTTTTTTCGTTGGCGTTTTTCTTTGTTGTGATTTTTATGGATGGATGCCATATTGTTTGTATATTTTCGTAACTCCCCCTTCTTTCACCAACTACCATTTCAACATCCTTCATTTTCTATTATCTTGACCTTTATTAATAAATTTTCTTGTTATCTATACTAAATACTGAACTCACTCTTTCTCTCTTTGTTATCACTCTCTTTATCACTCAATTTTTATCTCTCTCTCTTTAGTTTATATTTATGTCAAATAAAGTCTACACTTTTCTACTCTACCCTTGGTTATTTGCTTCGTATTTATATGCAAATTTTTATGAAAATAATTCTACACAAATAAGTTTATAGAAGAAAATTTTTATAACACTCCTACACTTGAAAATTTCCAATTGCTAAAAAAGAAAGAAATGGAAAAAAAAGTTGCTAAGAAGTTTTCAGAAGTTTGGTGTCAAGAGAAAATTTTCTTGACATATTTGCATATTTTCAATGCGAGATAAGTCAGTATAAGTTTGTAATTATAAAGCATCATTGTCAAAATACTTTTGACACTCAAAACGCATTTACCTATAGACAATTACAATTAAAAATTCGATTACTACTCAAGTTCAACATTTTAGTTCAGTTCTAGTTTAACTCTAGTTCAGTTCTAGTTTAGTTCAGTTCAGTCTAGTTCAGTCTAGTTCAGTTCTAGTTCAGTTCTAGTTCAGTTCTAGTTCAGTTCTAGTTCAGTTCTAGTTCAGTTTAGTTCAGTTCTAGTTCAGTTCTAGTTCAGTTCTAGTTCAGTTCTAGTTCAGTTCTAGTTCAGTTCTAGTTCAGTTCTAGTTCAGTTCTAGTTCAGTTCTAGTTCAGTTCTAGTTCAGTTCTAGTTCAGTTCTAGTTCTAGTTCTGTTCTAGTTCTGTTCTAGTTCTGTTCTAGTTCTGTTCTAGTTCTGTTCTAGTTCTGTTCTAGTTCTGTTCTAGTTCTGTTTCTAGTTCTGTTCTAGTTCTGTTCTAGTTCTGTTCTAGTTCTGTTCTAGTTCTGTTCTAGTTCTGTTCTAGTTCTGTTCTAGTTCTGTTCTAGTTCTGTTCTAGTTCTGTTCTAGTTCTGTTCTAGTTCTGTTCTAGTTCTGTTCTAGTTCTGTTCTAGTTCTGTTCTAGTTCTGTTCTAGTTCTGTTCTAGTTCTGTTCTAGTTTGTTCTAGTTCTGTTCTAGTTCTGTTCTAGTTCTGTTCTTTCTGTCTAGTTCTGTTCTAGTTCTGTTCTAGTTCTGTTCTAGTTCTGTTCTAGTTCTGTTCTAGTTCTGTTCTAGTTCTGTTCTAGTTCTAGTTCTGTTCTAGTTCCGTTCTAGTTCTGTTCTAGTTCTGTTCTAGTTCTGTTTTAGTTCTGTTCTAGTTCTGTTCTAGTTCTGTTCTAGTTCTGTTCTAGTTCTGTTCTAGTTCTGTTCTAGTTCTGTTCCAGTTCTGTTCTAGTTCTGTTCTAATTCTGTTCTAGTACTGTTTCTGTTCTGTTCTAGTTCTGTTCTAGTTCTGTTCTAGTTCTGTTTTAGTTCTGTTCTAGTTCTGTTCTAGTTCTGTTCTAGTTTTGTTCTAGTTCTGTTCTAGTTCTGTTCTAGTTCTGTTCTAGTTCTGTTCTAGTTCTGTTCTAGTTCTGTTCTAGTTCTATTCTAGTTCTGTTCTAGTTCTATTCTAGTTCTGTTCCAGTTCTGTTCTAGTTCTGTTCTAGTTCTGTTCTAGTTCTGTTCTAGTTCTGTTCTAGTTCTGTTCTAGTTCTGTTCTAGTTCTGTTCTAGTTCTGTTCTAGTTCTGTTCCAGTTCTGTTCTAGTTCTGTTCTAGTTCTGTTCTAGTTCTGTTCTAGTTCTGTTCTAATTCTGTTCTAGTTCTGATCTAGTTCTGTTCTAGTTCTGTTCTAGTTCTAGTTCTGTTCTAGTTCTAGTTCTGTTCTAGTTCTAGTTCTAGTTCTGTTCTAGTTCTAGTTCTAGTTCTGATCTAGTTCTGTTCTAGTTCTGTTCTAGTTCTGTTCTAGTTCTGTTCTAGTTCTGTTCTAGTTCTGTTCTAGTTCTGTTCTAGTTCTGTTCTAGTTCTGTTCTAGTTCTGTTCTAGTTCTGTTCTAGTCTGTTCTAGTTCTGTTCTGTTCTAGTTCTATTCTAGTTCTGTTCTAGTTCTGTTCTAGTTCTGTTCTAGTTCTGTTCTAGTCTAGTTCTGTTCTAGTTCTGTTCTAGTTCTGTTCTAGTTCTGTTCTAGTTCTGTTCTAGTTCTGTTCTAGTTCTGTTCTAGTTCTGTTCTAGTTCTGTTCTAGTTCTGTTCTAGTTCTGTTCTAGTTCTGTTCAGTTCTGTTCTAGTTCTGTTCTAGTTCTGTTCTAGTTCTGTTCTAGTTCTGTTCTAGTTCTGTTCTAGTTCTGTTCTAGTTATGTTCTAGTTCTGTTCTAGTTCTGTTCTAGTTCTGTTCTAGTTCTGTTCTAGTTCTGTTCTAGTTATGTCTAGTTCCTGTTCTAGTTCTGTTCTAGTTCTGTTCTAGTTCTGTTCTAGTTCTGTTTCTAGTTCTGTTCTAGTTCTGTTCTAGTGCTGTTCTAGTTCTGTTCTAGTTCTGTTCTAGTTCTGTTCTAGTTCTGTTTGTTCTGTTCTAGTTCGTTCAGTTCTGTTCTAGTTCTGTTCTAGTTCTGTTCTAGTTCTGTTCTAGTTCTAGTTCTGTTCTAGTTCTGTTCTAGTTCTGTTCTGGTTCTGGTTCTAGTTCTAGTTCTGTTCTAGTTCTGTTCTAGTTCTGTTCTAGTTCTGTTCTAGTTCTGTTCTAGTTCTATTCTAGTTCTGTTCTAGTTCTGTTCTAGTTCTGTTCTAGTTCTGTTCTAGTTCTGTTCTAGTTCTGTTCTAGTTCTGTTCTAGTTCTAGTTCTGTTCTTGTTCTAGTTCTAGTTCTGTTCTAGTTCTGTTCTAGTTCTGTTCTCTGTTCTAGTTCTTTCTGTTCTAGTTCTAGTTCTGTTCTAGTTCTGTCTAGTTCTGTTCTAGTTCTGTTCTAGTTCTGTTCTAGTTTGTTCTAGTTCTGTTCTAGTTCTGTTCTAGTTGTTCTAGTTATGTTCTAGTTCTGTTCTAGTTCTGTTCTAGTTATGTTCTAGTTCTGTTCTAGTTCTGTTCCAGTTCTAGTTCTAGTTCTGTTCTGTTCTAGTTCTGTTCTAGTTCTGTTCTAGTTCTGTTCTAGTTCTGTTCTAGTTGTTTTCTGTTGATTAATTAAAAACTATAAAACTTATAAGACAATACAACTCAGGTTGTGAATTGCACAAATGTTTTCATTTAATTTATATATTTCTCTTTAATTTTATAGAAATTTTCAACGATATTCTCTGTTTAAGAGCGTAAAAGATATAAAATATATGTAAAACTCTAAAACCCTGAATCACTATATACGATATATAATAAATACATAAAAAGTAATGAAAAAAAAATTCTTAAAAAACTTGTTTTTACAAAAAGTAATTAAAATATGTTTAATTATAACGAAATTAAAACAAAAAATTTTGTATGAATTTTGCGATGATTTGAAATGATTTTGATTTTTCTTTTGAAAATTTTGTTACCAATTATTTAAATTATTTAAAGAATTATTTTTTTGTTTAATAAGTTGGCATAAATATTGGTTGTTTTTTAAGTATAATAATATTTTGTTGTTGTTGCTGATGTTGTTGTTGTTCTTGATTTTGTTGTTGTTGTTGTACAGAATTATCTGTTAAAATATTAGTAAAATTAACAAAATTCGCTGTTAATTGAAAATCATCCAATAATTGTATTAAAGTTTTTTGTGTTGTTGCACAAATAAGTAATAAAATTATAATTGTTGTTAAAATTAGTGAAAATATTAAAAAATATCCAAAGAAGCACATTACAATTAACAAAAACAAATTAATTAAAGAAATATACTGGTTTTAGTTTTTAAATTTATTTTTTACAAATTTTTTATACTTTTTTTAAATTGCTTAAAACTTTTGCAAAATTTTCATTTAAACACACACACTCAAGCACTGGCACTTTGTGTCTAGAAAAGAACTATTTTTCTACTTTATTATACAGAAAATTTATTTTTTCATAGAGAAAAAATTTCCTTTTTTGTCGAAATTTTTAAACAATTTTCTTTATTTTTATTAAACAAATATTATATTTTTCTTTTTTAGGTTTAATTTTTTCATAAATTTTATTAAAAACTTTACTTTTTCTTTAGAAATATGATTTTTTTATAATTTTTTCTCGGTTTAAAATCGATTAAAAGCCGTTTTCGTTTTATGATTCACTATTTTTTATTTAATTTTTTTTTTTTTCAAATATTTTTATTCTTTTAGTAACCCACGACCGTTGTGTGTACCCAATAAGGGTAGATTTCGTTTTGAGCAGTGAAAATACTTTTGTTACTTTTGCTACCATTTCAAAATGAGGGTAAAATTTACACCCTTTTAAGGCGCAGGCGTTAAACCACACAATTTATTGGAGAACACGATGAGTATTCCAGCAACAACAACAACGACTTAAACTACAATATAGAAAAACATGTATTGAAACTAATATAACTATTAAAATATATTTTATTTATCTTGAACCATTGGGGAATTTGACAAAACTAGTTAAATGTCCAAATCAAATTTTAGAGTAGAAAAGAAAGCAAAAACATATGGCAACTCCAGAAAATAAATTCTACCCCCAAATAGAAACAAAGACACTGGGAGAAAAAATTTTAAGCTAAATACTAGGAACCACAGACAGAACTAGAACAAAACTAGAACACAACTAGAACTAGAACAGAACAGAACTAGAACAGAACTAGAACAGAACTAGAACAGAACTAGAACAGAACTAGAACAGAACTAGAACAGAACTAGAACAGAACTAGAACAGAACTAGAACAGAACTAGAACAGAACTAGAACAGAACTAGAACAGAACTAGAACAGAACTAGAACAGAACTAGAACAGAACTAGAACAGAACTAGAACAGAACTAGAACAGAACTAGAACAGAACTAGAACAGAACTAGAACAGAACTAGAACAGAACTAGAACAGAACTAGAACAGAACTAGAACAGAACTAGAACAGAACTAGAACAGAACTAGAACAGAACTAATACAGAACTAGAACAGAACTAATACAGAACTAGAACTGAACAGAACTAGAACAGAACTAGAACAGAACTAGAACAGAACTAGAACAGAACTAGAACAGAACTAGAACAGAACTAGAACAGAACTAGAACAGAACTAGAACAGAACTAGAACAGAACTAGAAACTAGAACAGAACTAGAACAGAACTAGAACAGAACTAGAACAGAACTAGAACAGAACTAGAACAGAACTAGAACAGAACTAGAACAGAACTAATACAGAACTAGAACAGAACTAATACAGAACTATCTAGGCTTGACTATAGATAGTCTATAATGTGGACTATAGATTGTCTATAGTCTGGACTATAGATTGTCTATAGTCTGGCCTATAGATTGTCTATAGTCTGGAATATAGGTTGGCTATAGTCTGGAATATAGATTGTCTATAGTCTGGACTATAGATTGTCTATAGTCTGGACTATAGATTGTCTATAGTCTGGAATATAGATTGTCTATAGTCTGGAATATAGATTGTCTATAGTCTGGACTATAGATTGTCTATAGTCTGGACTATAGATTGTCTATAGTCTGGACTATAGATTGTCTATAGTCTGGCCTATAGATTGTCTATAGTCTGGATTATAGGTAGGCCATAGATTGCCTATAATCTGGACTATAGGTTGGCTATACCTATACCATAGATTGTCTATAGTCTGGACTATAGATTGTCTATAGTCTGGACTATAGATTGTCTATAGTCTGGACTATAGATTGTCTATAGTCTGGACTATAGATTGTCTATAGTCTGGACTATAGATTGTCTATAGTCTGGACTATAGATTGTCTATAGTCTGGACTATAGATTGTCTATAGTCTGGACTATAGATTGTCTATAGTCTGGACTATAGATTGTCTATAGTCTGGACTATAGATTGTCTATAGTCTGGACTATAGATTGTCTATAGTCTGGACTATAGATTGTCTATAGTCTGGACTATAGATTGTCTATAGTCTGGACTATAGATTGTCTATAGTCAGGACTATAGGTTGGCTATAGTCAGGACTATAGGTTGGCTATAATCTGGATCATAGATTGTCTATAGTCTGGATCAGAGATTGTCTATAGTCTGGACTATAGATTGTCTATAGTCTGGACTATAGAGTGTCTATAGTCTGGACTATAGAGTGTCTATAGTCTGGACTATAGATTCTCTATAGTCTGGACTATAGATTGTCTATAATCTGAACTATAGGTTGTCTATAGTCTGGACCATAGATTGTCTATAGTCTGAATATATGTAGGTTGTCTATAGTCTGGACTGTAGATTGTCTATAGTCTGGACTATAGGTTGTCTATAGTCTTGACTTTAGGTTGTCTTATAGTCTGGACTCTAGATTGTCTAGAATATGGATTTTCTATTTCGTTATTTTTTGTCTGTTTGTAATGCAGTTTAAAAATTGCAATTTAATAAATTTTGTAATAATAAGAAAAAAATATATATATAATTTAAGATAACACAACAACATCTATTAAATGTCAAAATTGACTAAAATGTCAATGGAGCAATATTATCAATAAATATATGCAAGTAAAGTAATTATTTATATTTTAATAGTACAAGTACAACACATTCAATAGCGTCAACATCATCCAGCCACTGCATGAAAACAAAAACATATTTAGTTAATGGTAAACAGTAAGAGTAATTAACCCTTGAAGGGGAGGGGGAGTAACCATAATCTTTACAAAAAAATAAAAAGATTTTCTTATAAAAAATTTAAGATTAATTGACAGTTTTTAAAATTTTGTAATATTTTTATAGATTTTAAGAAATAAGCTTGTGGCTGACCCTTAGAGGGTTAATTGTATCTATACAACGCAAAATAAAAATCAATATCAACAAAGGAATAACATCTACATAAATGATTTTACGTCATAGTGGAACCGAAAGATAAAAAGGTTAAATTAACAATCGTAATCGATGAAAAACGGATGTACAACGTGTAAATGTTGTTTTTTTTTATCAGAGACAATAATCAGACAATTTGGAACGTTATGGAGGAGCTGCCTATCTCTAGGTGTTATAAATAAATCTGAGTTGTAGGCAGATAGGAACAGATTTCCTTCATTGTGTGAACAATGAGTGAAGATTTATACATTTTTTCAAGAGTTAACTTTTAGCAGTTCGAGAACAAATTCTTTAATTAACTCCATTCAAATAACTTTAAGTCCTAAATTAAAAAGTAAACCTTAATTTTTATTTTTCTTTATTTAATCAAAAATTTCATTCCATTCAAAACACCCACTCTGTTCACACTAATGACAAATTAAATTTGATGACATTTTGCGTCACTAAGAATTCTTCATCGCAGTTGAGTGGTGGTAATTCGCGACATACGGTGTATTACTTTTTGACATTTCATTTCCAACATGTAAGTTTTCTAAGAGAAAAGTTTGATAATAATATTCGACTAAACTAAAATAACAATAATTTAATCATTAATTTAAAAAAATTCACAAAACAAACCCTTTTACACAACCCACAAACCATAAAATAGAAGACAAGTTTTAATTTAAGACCCTTCAAAAAAACCTTGATTGTTGAATTTTGTTCTTTATCTCCACTTTTCTTAACATATTTTTAATGTAAAATACAAAAAAAAAATAATTGTATGTATCATTTAATGTTTTTCATAAAGTGCACAAATGAAAAATGTTGTTATACATATACAGACAGACGCCTACACATCATAAGGACAATAATAAGAGTCCAACCAACAGCAACAATGAAAGCCGTAACGGTTAAGTAGGAAAACTTTCAAATGGCACACACAACAAACAGAAATGACTATTCGAGAAAAATGAAAATAGACGTAGCATTAACGAGGGTGTTTCGTTATTGAAGAAGAGAAAATTTACTGACCGATATCGCATCCCTAAAGTCCGGACTATTCTATAGCCTCGACTATAGATTCTATAGCCTTGACTATAGATTGTACTGTAGTCTCGCATATAGAATGTTCTGTACTCGACTATAGACAGTTCTATAGTCTCGACTATAGACTGTTCTAGTCTCCACTACAGACTGTTTTATAGTCTAAACTAGAACTGAACTCGAACTAAAACCGAACCAGACCTGAAGTAGAACTGAAGTAGAACTGAACTAGATCTGAACTAGAACAGAACTAGAACTGAACTAGAACTAGAACTAAACTAGAACTGTACTAGAACTGAACTAAAACTGAACTAGAACTGAACTAGAACTGAACTAGAACCGAACTAGAACCGAACTAGAACTGAACTAGAACGACAATAAAACGTATAGTGACGACTATAGAACGTTCTAAAGACTCGACTATAGACTGTTCTGTAGTCTCGGCTATAGACGGTTATAGTCTCGACTACAGGCTGTTTTATAGTCTAAACTAGAACTGAACTCGAACTAAAACCGAACCATACCTGAAGTAGAACTGAACTAGATCTGAACTAGAACTGAACTAGAA